GTGGAAGTGAGGAATAGATTCAAGGGATTAGATCTGATAGATCAAGTGCCTGAAGAACTATGGATGGAGGTTCACGACGTTGTATGAGAGACAGGGATCAAGACCATCCCTAAGTAAAAGAAATGAAAAATGGCAAAATGGCTGTCTGAGGAGCCTTACAAATAGCTGTAAAAAGAGAGATGAAACGCAAATGAGAAAAGGAAAGATAAACCTATTTGAATGCAGAGTTCCAAAGAATAGCAAGGAGAGATAGGAAAGCCTTCCTCAGTGATCAGTGCAAATAAATAGAGGAAAACAATAGAATGGGAAAGACTAGAAATCTCTTCAAGAAAATTAAGAGATGGGAATTCCCTGGTGGTCCAGTGGCTATGCAGTCAAATAAATAAAAATAAATGTTAAAAAAAAAAAAAAGAAAATTAGAGATACCAAGGGAACACTTTGTGCAAAGGTGGGCACAATAAAGGACAAAAATGGTATGGACCTAACAGAAGCAGAAGAGATTAAGAAGAGGTGCAAGAATACACAGAAGAACTACACAAAAAAGATCTTCATGACCCAGATAATCACAATGGTATGATCACTCACCTAGAGCCAGGCATCCTGGAATGTGAAGTAAAGTGGGCCTTAGGAAACATCACTATGAACAAAGCGTGGAGGTGTGATGGAATTTCAGTTGAGCTATTTCAAATCTTAAAAGATGATGCTGTGAAAGTACTGCACTCAATATGCCAGCAATTTTGAAAACTCAGCTATGGCCACAAGACTGGAAAAGGTCAGTTTTCATTCCAATCCCAAAGAAAGGCAATGCCAAAGAATGCTCAAACTATTGCACAGTTGCACTCATCTCACACACTAGAAAAGTAATGCTCAAAATTTTCCAAGCCAGGCTTTAGTAGTACGTGAGCCGTGAACTTTCAGATGTTCAAGCTGGATTTAGAAAAGGCGGAGGAACCAGAGATCAAATTGCCAACATCCACTGGATCATCAAAAAAGCAGGAGAGTTCCAGAAAATCATCTGCTTAATTGAGTATGCCAAAGCCTTTGACTCTGTGGATCACAACAAACTTTGGAAAATTCTTCAGGAGATGGGAATACCAGACCACCTGACCTGCCTCTTGAGAAATCTGTATGCAGATCAGGAAGCAACAGTTAGAACTGGACATAGAACAACAGACTAGTTCCAACATCAAGGCTCTATATTGTCACCCTGCTTATTTAACTTATATGCAGAGTACATCATGAGAAACGCCAGCTGGATGAAGCACAAGCTACAATAAAGATTGCTGGGAGAAATATTAATAACCTCAGACATGCAGATGGCATCACCTTAATGGCAGAAAGTGAAGAAGAACTAAAGAGCTTCTTGATGAAAATGAAAAAGGAGTGTGAAAAAGTGTGAAAAATGCTTAAAGCTCAGCATTCAGAAAACTAAGATCATGGCATCTGGTCCCATTTGTTCATGGCAAATAGATGCGGAAACAATGACAGCCTTTTTTGGGGGTGGGCTCCAAAATCACTGCAGATGGTGACTGCAGTCATGAAATATAAAGATGCTTGCTCCTTGGAAGAAAAGTTATGATCAACCTAGACAGCATATTAAAAGGCAGAGACATTATTTTGCCAGCCAAGGTCCATCTAGTCAAAGCTATGGTTTTTCCAGTAGTCATGTATGGATGTGAGAGTTGGACTATAAAGAAAGCTGAGCACCGAAGAATTGATGCTTTTGAATTGCAGTGTTGGAGAAGACTCTTGAGAGTCCCTTGGATATCAAGCAGATCCAACCAGTCCATCCTAAAGGAAATCAGTCCTGAATGTTCATTGGAAGTATTGATGCTGAAGCTGAAACTCCAATACTTTGGTCACATGATGCGAAGAACTGACTCGCTGGGAAAGACTGAAGGCAGGAGGAGAAGGGGACGACAGAAGATGAGATGGTTGGATGGCATCATCAACCTGATGGACGTGAGTTTGAGTAATCTCCAGGAGTTGGTGATGGACTGGGAGGCCTGGCGTGCTGCAGTCCATGGGTTTGCAAGGAGTCAGACACAACTGAGCGACTGAACTGAACTGAAAACTTCCAGATGTATAAACTGGGTTTAGAAAAGGCAGAGGAACCAGAGATCAAATTGCCAACGTTAACTGGATCTTAGAGAAGCAAGGGAATTCCAACAGAACATCTATACTCCTGCTTCATTGACTATCCTAAAGACTTTGACTGTGTGGATCGTAACAAACTGTGGCAAATCTTAAAGAGATGGGAGTGCCAGACCACCATACCTGTCTCCTGAGAAACCTGTAAGTGGGTCAAGAAGCAACAGCTACAACTTTAAATGGAACAGCTGACAGGTTCAAAATTAGTAAAGGAGTACTACAGGGCTATATATTGTCACCCTATTTGACTTACTTGCAGAGTACATCATGTGAAATGCTGGTCTGGATGAGTCACAAGCTGGAATCAAGATTGCTGGGAGATTTATCAACAGCAGATATGCAGATTATATTCCTCTAATGGCAGAAAGTGAAGAGTAAAAAGAGCCTCTTGATGAGGGTGAAAGAGGAGAGTGAAAAAGTTGACTTGAAACTCAACATGCAACTAAGATCATGGCATGCAGTCCCATCACTTGATGCAAACAGAAAGGGAAAAAGTGGAAACAGTGATAGGTTTTATTTTGGGGGGCTCCAAAATTAGTGTGGATGGTGACTGCAGTCATGAGAAAGACTTTTGTTCCTTGGAAGGAAAGCTATGAGAAACCTAGACAGCATGTTAAAAAGCAAAGACATCACTTTGCCAACAAAGATCTGTATAGTCAAAGCTTTGGTTTTTCCAGTAGTCATGGATGGATGTGAGAGTTGGACCATAAAGAAGACTGAGCCCTGAAGAACTGATGTCTACGAAGTTTGGTGCTAGAGTAGACTTTTGAAAGTCTCTTGAAATACTAGCAGATCAAACCAGTGAATCCTAAAGGAAATCAACCCTGAATATTCATTGGAAGGACTGATGCTGAAGCTGAAGCTCCAGTACTTTGGCCACCTGATAAGAAGAACTGCTCATTGGAAAAGACCCTGATGCTGGAAAAGATAGAAGGCAGGAGGAGAAGGGGGTGACAAAAGATGAGATGGTTGGATGGCATCACTGACTCAATGCACATGAGTTTAAGCAAGCTCCAGGAGATGGTGAAGGACAGGGAAGCCTCATGACCTGCAGTCTATGGAGTTGCAAAGAGTCAGACGCAACTGAGCGACTGAACAACAACAAAGTTTTGGCACTTGTAAAGAATCTGCCTGCCAATTCAGGAGGTGTAAGAGACGTGGGTTCTTTACCTCAGTTGAGAAGATCCTCTGGAGTAGGAAATGGCAGCCCACTCTGGTATACTGGCCTGGAAAATCCCATGTCCAGGAGTCTCGTGGGCTACAGCCCTTCAGATCACCAAGAGTTAGACACGACTTTAGCGAGTGAACAACAAGTACATGATATTGATTCTTCAGTTTTCTGCCTATAACATTTGACCTTGGCTTCTGTTGTTCAGGGAATAATGCCAGGAAAAGGGAGGTCTCACTGCTCTGGAGGGTTGGATTTAGGTTCTCATACTGCTTCTTGTACTTACTATCATCCCATCCCTCTATCTTAATGTTTCTCTTGCAAACTTTTGTCTGCAGATTGCTGGTTACATCAATTCCTAAGCTTTTCATGAATTTTGGCCTCATACTGACTTTCTTTCTAAACACTTCTGGGTTAAGTTTCAGTTTAGTCTGGTCAGTTAAATCAGTTTCAAATGTTTACCCACATGTTTTTCCATCTTATAGAATTTTGTTCATGTTGTGTCTGCTGTAGGTTCTTTTTCTGTTCCCTCTGTTCTTGTGGACATATAGTTTTTAGATTCTTTTACTGTCATTTTAGTTGCATTTTTGAATTATTGGGTGATAAATTACTATCTCCACCATATTTAACTGGAAATCTTATGCAGACTTTTTTCTATTAATGTAACATTAATGCCTAGACACTCACATTTCCCCATTCTCCCATACCGCCTCAAAAAGGGCTTACATGCCCTGTATTGCAACTTGCTTTTTAAAAAGGACCTCTATATAATGGGTTTCTTTCATTTTTGAAGCTCTGTTTTAATGTTTTTAAAGTTAAAATTTTGAACTTTTAGATGTCTATGTAACTTATTTCATCTGTGCCCTTTTAATGAGCACTGGGATTGTTTCAAGTTTTGCTGCTCTTACCATCCTTTTACATACATAATTGCCTTCTTGTGACAGAGCTTTTGTAGGATTTTTTATTAAAAAAAATTTTTTTTTTCCCCCCATACCACACTGCTTGCAGGATCTTAGTTCCCTGACCTGGGCCACCACAGTGAAAGTGCCAAGTCCTAACCAGTGGACCACCAGGGAATTCCCTGTAGTATTTTAGACATCAAGTCCTTGGTCACTGGTTATTTGCATTTTAAATTTTAATAGATCTTGCCAAGTTGCCCTTAAAAGAAAAATAAAATGGTGGTTCCAGTTTATACCCAGATAACATAGATCGTGGTAAAGATCATGGATTCTGAAGCCTGGCTGCCTAGGTTTGAGTTCTGCCTCTTTGACTCATTTGCTGGATGATTTTGGCAAATTCCATAACCTCTTTAGTTTCCTCTTCTGTAAAGTTGGGATAAGAGCAGCAGCTCTTTTGTAGAGTAGATGTGGTTTTAATAAGGTAATCTGTGAAAGGACTTAGACTACTGCCTAAACAATGCAGAATAGTGCACCCTCTCAGCTGCTGTTTTTGTGTCTGCTAGGATCTCACCACAAAAATATTCTGTATTTTCTTCTCTAGTTCTCTCTGTGGAATATAATGAAAATTTCTTAGGAAACCTATGAGAAATTCTTTTAAATTATATTTTACATTAAATATTACAGGTTAAAATTCTTATGTAACTTAGCCTTTTGTATTCATTTTGCACTGTTAAAAACATCTTTGACATATCTGTTGATTTGGTTTTGTTTTTGTTGCCTAGCACTCCCACCAAAGGCATAGAGAACAAAGCTTTTGATCGCAATACAGAATCTCTCTTTGAAGAACTGTCTTCAGCTGGTTCAGGTCTAATTGGAGATGTGGATGAAGGAGCAGATTTACTAGGTATGATAGTTTATCTGAAATAGTATCATACTGTTTTAAAAATAGATTTTTAAAATGATATAATGGAACGTTTCTTTAAAATGTCCCTAACTGGGGCTTCCCTGCTGGCTCGGTGGTAAAAGAATCCGCCTGCCAATGCAGGAGACCCTGGGCTTCTCCCTGATCTGGGGAGATCCCATGCGCCATGAAGCAACTAAGCCTGTGAACCACGACTACTGAGCCTGTGTTCTAGAGCCTGGAGCCGCAGCTACTGAGCCCCGTGTGCCTTAGAGCCCGTACTCCACAAGGGAAGCCACCACTTGAGAAGCTTGTGCACTACAACTAGAGGGTAGCCCTTGCTCGCCCGCAACTAGAGAAAAGCCTGCAATGCACATCAAGGACCCAGCACAACCAAAAATAAATTTTAAAAAAGTCCCTAACTGTCCAGTGGGACAGTTATTGTGCTTTTAAGTAATTAGTAGGAACGTATTCTTTGAAATCATGAAAGTTTTAAATGAAAATGTCCTCCATCTGTGGATGCATTTAGAATTGAATTGCTTTTTAGTTTGTATTTTGAATTCACATACACAATTTATTGAACTCCTTCCTGCTATGTTCTGAGAACAGTATTACATATAAGAAACACAGTGATATATGTATACATGCGGTTATATATAGATGTATAGATTTTATGGGTTGATGGATAGTTACTTCCTGGCTTAAATAGAGTTCATTCAATTCACTTGACTTTTCTGATATTTCACAGAGTATTCTGTTTTAGCTTCTTGAGAAATATGTTAGAGTTTGTGTTGTTGAAGATTATCTGGTTTGAAAAGGATATTGTATTTGGCTCTTCTACTGTTGATCTGGTTTGTTGTTGTTGTTCAGTTGCTAAGTCTTGTCCGACTCTTTACAACCCCATGGACTATATAGCCTGCCAGGTTCCTCTGTCCATGGGATTTCCCAGGCAAGAATGCTGGAGTGGATTGCCATTTCCTTCTCCACGGGATCTTTCTAACCCATGGATTGAACCCTGGTCTCCTTCATTGCCAAGCAGATTCTTTACCGCTGAACCACCAGGGAGTGAATGACCTTTGCCAAATATCTTAACCTCTCTGGGCATTAGTTTCTTTGTGTATAAAAAGAAAAACTTGAGCTCTAATTCAGGGGTTGGATAGGCTGTGATTATTTGTGTGTACAAATAAGTTTTATTGGGACACAGTCACACTTTTTAAAATGTTTTATCTTGATTTTGGGCTTCCCAGGTGGTACAGTGGTAGAATCTGCCTGGCAATGCCAGAGATGTAAGAGATGCAGGTTCAATCCCTGGGTCAGGAGGATCCCCTGGAGGAGGAAATGGCAACCCACTCCAGTATTCTTGCCTGGAAAATCCCATGGATAGAGCAGCCTGGCGGGCTGCAGTCCATAAGGTCTCAGAGTTGGTCAGGATGGAACACACACACACACACAGAGACACCCACACACACAGAGACACCCACACACAGTAGTTGCTTTTGCCCCACAATAGCAGAGTTAAGTTGTCCTTAACAGGGATTATGTGGTTTACAAAACCTAAAATATTCACCATCTGGGCCTTTACACAAAAAGTTTGCACCTGTTCTAAGTGATCTTTATAGTTCCTTTGAACAATAATTACATGAATGAGATTTCCCTGAAGGTCCAGTGGTTAAGACTCTGTACTTCCACTGCAGGGGTCATAGGTTCGGTCCCTAGTGGGTGAACTAAGATCTTGCAACTTGCACCATGCAGTCAAAAAAAACAAAAAAAGTTTACATGAATCTGACTCTTGTCAATTAGCTTTGATGTGCCTTTCTTTATAACTTAAGACCTTATAGAAATTGAATACATTATAGTATTAAAAATCTATGCCTTTGGAATGGATTCTGGTCTCCAAACATTTTTTGTATCCCTTAGTAATTCAGTATAGATTACACTATTCTTAAAAGGTGCTGTTTGTCAGTCTTGTGGATATAGAGAGTTGTTGCTTGCATTCATTTATGTCAAATTTATTGTTACCAGTTATGTCCTCAATAAGTATTTTTTGAAGGAAACATAGTTTCTGTCTACAGAGAGCTCATAGGCTTTTTTAAAGTAAAAGAGATTGAAAGTACATTAATAAACTTAGTCAGGTATAGACTCCTACCACTAAAGTCTAAGTAAAACATTGGAAGCTTTGAATGAACTTGCATTTTTCAAGGATGTCTTAAGGATTAATTCTTAAGAAGCACTCCATTTTTACATTTAAATTTATGCTCTAACTAACATTAAATTGTTAACATTACAATGTGCATGAAAAGTTCCTTTAAGATTTGACATAAGAAACTGATTTCCTGCCAAAATTGAGGAATAGATGCAAAAAAAGGTTAGAAAAAAGAATTTTTAATGTTTAAACAAAAACTCAAATTTATATACAGTAAAGCACAGTTTTTTGTTTTGACAAATGCATGGGATTGTATAGCCACTACCAGAATTAATATATATCACCTCTCAAAAAATTCCTTCATGCTTCCCCTTGGTAATTTACCAGAGTGAAGTACTTTTTAAATGTACTTTTAACCCTCTGCTTCCTTATAATCCAGTATTGAATAATATCATTATTGAAGTTGGTGGCCCTAAACTTAGTTTCTTGTAAAGATGTAAGAAGCTACATAATGCTTAGAAATAATTGTCATCTTTTAAATAAAATATTTTTCCAAAAGCTTCCATTTTTTAAGTCAGAAAATTAAGCATAATAAAAAGCTTAAAACAAAATCCTGATTTCCTTTCCACTTTGAAAAAAAGAAATAAACTGTAAACTACTCTCTTTTCCCTTTTGCAGATATTTATATATTTACCTGGAAAATGTTCCAGATTTGAAGTTTTAATATATTACCTTAAGTGATTTAAGCGTATATGAATACTTTTGGTCAAAGATGTTAAATGAAACCTCCAATGCACGTAGTTGTTCCTTGGCTTCTCTTCTGTTTTATTCAGCAATAGTAATTGCATTGTAATACTAACTGGAACATGGTTAAACTGATAAAATTGTTTCCCAAAGTTCCTTAAAATTGTCTTTAATTGATAAATAAGTTCATTTCTATAACTCATTATTCATTTTACAATTACTGTGTTATTGTAAAACTCTTCCCTGGTCTTTGTAATCATTATGCATGTACTCAGTTTTAGATTACTTTTTTCAAATTTTAATAGTTTAAAAAAGATAATCCCCCACAGTTTGTCCTTTATCTTGATTGATATCTCATTCTTTGACTTTATTTCCAGTGATTCTTTTCTCCATTCACTTTTATCACTTATCCCCCATGGCCATATTCTAGAACTTGTGAATCATACATTCATTCATGCTATTCTTGAGATTTTCTTTAATTTTCTTACTATTGATTAAATTTTATTTTTTCAATTTCACTACTTTAACTAACTTCTTCCTGTTATCATTTAAACGTGTTCCGGTCTTTACCATTTTAAAATAAAACTACTGCCCTCTTCTGACTCCATTCTTTAGTACCTTTCCACCAGATGACTCTCCTTCCATTGCCAACCATGGTTTTTTGCAGCAATATCAGTGAGGCAGGTATCTATTATGTGCCTGGCACTATTCTAGATTGATATACCAGTGAACAAAACAGACTTCTTGAAAGTGTGTCTACTTTTAACGGGCAGGATTTCCCTGGCCTCACTTGCACCTCGTCTGACTGCAGTCTGTCATTCTGCCCCACACTAACCTTCCCAGAAATAGCCTTCTTGTTTGCTATCTCCAGCAGTTCCTTCTTAGTTATTTCACATGACTTCTCAAATTGCATTTGTCTTTAAACAGCTTTGCTGTGGGTTCTGTCCTATCAGAGTTCTCTGTATTCTTTCCTGCCTCTGATGATTTCTTTTTAGTCTTTGCAGGATCCTTTCTCTGCCCAGCTTTCAGATGTTCCTAGTCCAGGCTTGTTTCCATGTTTGGGATGTCTTATTTGCTCTTGTTTTTTCTGGGTTTTCATGGCTTATTGCTCTAAACTTTTTCTCTCCATCTAAGATTTTTTTCTATAGCTCCAGACTATTACTTCCGAACAGCACTCTAGACCACTTCTAAGATGATTTGTAGAGCTTTGTAGCTAAAACTCAGTTCATCAACATCTTTATGTCCCCCAAGGCTGTTCTTATATCAACATGTGTCAACTCAATGAATGACCTCACCATCAACTCATTTTTCCATCCTAAATCTCTCTCACTTCCCTCAAAACCAGTCATGAGGATTTTTTGCCTCCTTCCTTAAAAAAGAAAAGTCTATGTATCTGTTTCTGTATCTCCTTCTTGCCTCTAACTAAATGGCATACCCTCCTCTGTGAGTTCTGCCTCAATCCCCTTGTTAAAGCTCAGTTGTTTGGAAGCATTCCCATAGCACTACATTTATTATGCAACTCTTCATAATACTTTATTGTAGTTTTTTTAACGTGTCTGCCTCCCTGACTGGACTATAAGCTCAGTATGGCCTAGACAATTATATCTTTTGCTCACTGTTGAGTCTTTGGCACATGGCACAGCAACTGAGTGAGTGGACTGTTAAATAGTTGTAAACAGTTTTGTTTCACCTCTAAACCTATACTTCTTTAATTTTTGAAATTAAAATTCCTTTAAAGGAGAATTTGTAAGAGAGGAGTGTACTTTTGGAAAATGCACATACAGAAATAGATAAAATTGTGCATACTTCCTCAAGGAAGCAACAGATAATCTGGAATCCCATCTATAAACCTAACTTGCAAATCAGTGCTAAAATCCAAATGAGATGTGTTTTATTTTTAAAACTATCAGGCAGTTTTTTGCTTGTTTTAATAGGGTAAGTTTTCCAAATATGTTACACCTAAGTTTATGCTTAGTTGAAGACATTTATAGAAGTATGGCCACTTCAAGTTACATTTTTCATATAGTCATTTTTATCAGTACATTTCAAAGTGAAAATTTTGGACAATGGTATTGGTTATGCATTATATTTATATGGTAGATTTTAGAAGAATTCTTCACCAAGAATGTGTAAACTCCAGAAACTATATTATAAGATGATTTCCATAGAGCACATATTTCAAAAATATTCCTGTTTATGATATTTATACTTTATTATGTTTGGTTTCTCTACATCTTTTCAATTTTATTGGCTCCTTTCTCTCATTTTGAAATAAATGAGTATGGATCTTGCTTTCTGAAAACAATCTAATTGAGATTCTCATTCATTTTTTTGCTTGGGCTGCTTCCCCAGGGGAATATTCTGGTGTGTATGCTTTTAAAATACTTTAATGTTACAGCTTTTCAAGCTAGGTGGTCTTGGCTGCTTTTCTCATTAATGCTTTCTCATTTTTTTTCTGCTCAACTATATTTTCCCCACATATATTTTTCAGCTTTTATGCTTATCTCCCTATGTGCTTGAGAGTTTAGCAGTCATTATATAAACTTTTTCACCCAACCTCAATCCTATTTCTTTTGACTCTATAGCTTTATTAACGTTAGTGTTTAAAGCAAATATTTCAACGTATCTTGTCAAATTCATTTTTAAATTGGAATTTGGAAACTGTTTTAGTTTGTGTTTAGTTTCAGCTTTTGGATCATATGTAGATGATTAAATAAGCTACTATTTCTGGTATTTATTCTTCATGGTGGAAGTACCTTGTTCTTTGAGAATATCTGAGATAATTATAATACAGACAATATAGGAGTCCATAAGTGAGCAGAGAACTTCTAGCATTCCCAGGTTGGTTGAGTTTTAAATTATCTTTTAGTTATTTGAAATATTACCTCTTTTTTAAAATAAAGAGACATGTTAGCTCTTTTAATTTTTTGTTGTTTTCTTTAGAAATGTTTCCTTTTTTAGGTGGGTTATGAATATTATTTCTTCCACTGTATGTAATCTTCCAATATTAGCTTATGAAACATGGAATGGTTGGTGTTTTGTTTTGCTTTGCTTTGTTTTTGTAACTTTTTGAGGTATGTTCCCTAGTGTGTTGTTTAATTTCTTCAGTTTCTTACAAGTCGCCGCTAAATAGCTTTCTTCTCCCTGAAGATCACTATGTTGGATCTTGCATTGAATATTCTACCACCGACCTTATAGTACTCATTAAGTTATTAAGCAAGGTTCTATAAATTGACAAGTAAACATTGTTTCAAAGAGGGCACTTTGAAGAAACCTTTATATTATTGATCTGGAATTTTCATTCTAATTAAATTCAAGTTTATTTTGTAGAAGAATTACTAACATATCAGAACATCCTTATGAATGAAGGAAATCATCTTAATTTCTGTCTTTTCCAAATCATTATGCATTAAATCATAACATTGTGATTTCAAATGTCTTTCATATCATGCATAAAACTTGGATTAAGTGTCTATTTTCATGCTGTTTCTCACATGAAACATCTCTTGTTCTTTGTTTTTGCTTTACATGGAATGCATGGGCTTTAAGACCATAATTTCTTTGGTAAGGTTTCATCTGTGTTGGGGTTCTGTTTCTTGTTTCTGCCTGTTCTGTATTAATAAGACCTAATTTTTAGGCAAAAGCCTACAATATCAAGTGTGATTTAGAAATGATTTTTCATCCATATTAATGCTATTCTTTTTTCCCCACTAAATACTGTTACTTTTAAAAATATTTGGCAGAAAAGTCTTCACTGTTTTTGGAATATTATCTAGGAGAAGCAAAATACAGACTTAAGAAAACCTTTAGCTTTGTTCTGTGGTAGATAATTATAATTTTATAATGAATGCAAGTAAACATATAAAAATGAAATTATAGACAAAATGAGATTATTGAGGGACAGATAAAATGTTACAATAAAATTTGTGACTATAGCTTGTCTTAAGTCTATATATATAGTTTTAATAAATTTATTTTCAAAGTTTTTATCTTTTTTCTTTGATAGGAATGGGTCGTGAAGTTGAAAATCTTATATTGGAAAATACACAACTGTTGGAAACCAAGTAAGTATATACAGAATTTAACAGGCAACAGGAGATACTAAATTTTCTTCTCATCCATATCAATGTCACATCTAAATTAAACACAGTACAAATGCAGACTTATTACCCTATCTCCTCCCCTTCTCTGTGTATGGCCTTGTGCATACACATGTACACAAGCAGATAGTTAATGGTACCTAATTTCACTAATAGATAGGTTTCGTTGCTCTGGGGTTTTTTTTTGTTGTTGTTGTTTTTTCCATAAACAGATTTTGATCTCCTTTTACCCTGCAAGTATCCATGCCTTTCTCTTAATCTTCTGAATGTGTCCTGTGTAGTATCGTTTCAAAACTTAGTAAGAATAATACCCTTATGGATATTATAAATTTAATCTTAATTCTGACTTTTAATAATTTGGTGGTCTGCCTTGCCTTATCTATTTATTCTTTGGTAAGTGAGAAAAGAAGAAACAGGCCATTACTTTGTCGGCTTTTTTTTTAAACCTGCAGACAACATCAGATAGAGTATCTTTGAAGCATTCAGTTATTATTTAGCTTTTTTATTGTAGTTACTTTAGTCTACAAGAGAAATAAGCTTAAAGATAGAATATTTATTTGTAATGGTGCTCTTTAAATATGTGTTTCTTAGAAATGCCTTGAATGTAGTGAAGAATGACTTGATAGCAAAAGTAGATGAACTTACCTGTGAGAAAGATGTGCTGCAAGGGGAGCTGGAGGCTGTGAAACAAGCCAAGCTGAAGCTGGAGGAAAAGAACAAAGAATTGGAAGAAGAGCTTAGGAAGTAAGTTTTTACCATGTTGTTCTAAACCAAACAAGCATTGCCAGTGTACCACCAGGATTATAATAAGACTGCTACCTTTAGTCCTCTCAAGGCACAAAGGGCACAGAACTGCCTGGGATAAGGTTAAGTGCCTGGTTGATTGCCTCTACTCTGAACAGACCCTCCCATTTACTGACTATTATAATTTTTTGTGTATGTCATGATTGTGAAAGAAGTTAGACTGTTCAGATGTTGCTAATCAGGAAACTAAACATTCATTATTTTTCTTTACCCAGCTTTCTTTAATACCTGGTTTTCTGACAACAATGCTATAATAATGTTCCCTTAAGTAAAAGCAGCTAAATAATCTGTTTGGAAAAAGAAAAATAATCATTTAACGGTAGTTAAATTTTTGACCTATTCTCCATTCTTTAAAAAGTTGAAGTCAACTTGAATAACACTTTTTGTTTTTTCCGCCCCTCTAGAGCTCGTGCAGAAGTTGAAGATGCAAAGCAAAAAGCAAAAGATGATGATGATGTAGGTTTATAATTTTGAACTTGTTTTTCTTACTTTGCCACATTCTGGTATTTTGGGGAAATATTGTTAATTAAGCTTTGGATATATCACTTTAAAGATGAGGTTCGGTTCAGTCACTCAGATGTGTCTGACTCTTTGCAACCCCATGGACTGCAGCGTGCCAGGCCTGCCTGTCCATCACCAACTCCCGGAGTTTACTTAAACTCATGTCCATTGCGTTGGTAGTGCCATCCAACCATCTCATCCTCTGTCATCCCCTTCTCCTCCTGCCTTCAGTCTTTCCCAGCATCAGGGTCTTTTCCAATGAGTCAGTTCTTTGCATCAGGTGGCCAACGTACTGGAGTTTCAGCTTCAGCATCAGTCCTTCCAATGAATATTCAGGGTTGATTTCCTTTAGAATGGACTGGTTGGATCTCCTTGCAGTCCAAGGGACTCTCAAGAGTCTTCTCCAACACCACAGTTCAAAGCCATCAATTCTTCGGTGCTCAGCTTTCTTTATAGTCCAACTCTCACATCCATACATGACTACTGGAAAAACCATAGCTTTGACTATGTGGACTTTTGTTGGCAAAGTAACGTCTCTGCTTTTTAATATGCTGTCTAGGTTGGTCATAACTTTTCTTCCAAGGAGCAAGCATCTTTTAATTTCATGGCTGTAGTCACCATCTGCAGTGATTTTGGAGCCCCCCAAAATAAAGTCTGTCTCTGTGTCCATTGTTTCCCCATCTATTTGCCATGAAGTGATGGGACCAGGTGCCATGATCTTAGTTTTCTAAATGTTGAGAGTTAAGTCAACTTTGTCACTCTCCTCTTTCACTTTCATCAAAAGACTCTTTAGTTCTTCTTCATTTTCTGCCATAAGGGTGGTGTCAAAAAGTCAAAATCACATTTACGATCATGAATAGGATAGCTCATGCTCCTGTGTGCTGTCCACATGGTAAGCTCCCTAGCTGTATGCGTGTTGTCAGTTTTCCTCTGGCTTTGTGCTCTCACTGTGTCTGCATGTTTAAGCTCAGGAGCCAGTGGGAGAATTCTGGAGTCTTTTTGTTTGTTGTTTGTTTTGTTTCCGCTTTTAACTTAGAAATACATGAAAGCTTTAGTGATAAAAAATTTAATGGTACTAAACATAAAAAGAAGCCTATCAACTTATAAGCAATTAGCCCATGTTGTTTTCAACATATAAAAACAAAAGAATAAATATGAACTTCTTGTCAATGTTAGCATACTAGTTATTCTGTTGGTAACTAGGTTATCATCCCTATAATAGGTGTTTGCTGCTTAAGTATCAGACTTGAGATATATGGATGTTCTGATCAGGATGATTATTTGGTGCCCCTCAATATCTTAGTTGTGCTTTTATATGATGTTTGATACATTTAAAATATATGCTGTATATGTAGGTTATGAGTAATAACATTAACGTTATAATAAATTAACATTATGAACCCACTGTTTAAGAACTAGGACATTACCAAACATTGAAGCTATGCTATGCTTTTCCCTCTGGAGGATACTACTGTCCTGTACTTACCATTTTATTAACTTGAAAGAAAAATAATTTTATCATATCACACGTATATGTCTTTATAAGCTATGGTTTAATTTTCATTGTTTTTGTGTTTTATGTGTATTTAGTCTTGGAGACTTGCTTCTTTTTTCAGTATTATGTTTTTTATATTTACCCTATTTGTATATTGGTATATATTTCATTCATGTTCACTGTTTTATAATATCCCATTATATAAATGTACTATAATTTATGTATTTGTTTTTCTGTAAATGAATATTTTGGTTATTTTCAGCTTTTTAGTACTACAGACAGTGCTGTTATGAACATTGCAGTAAGAGTCTCCTGATTTTTCCAGAGTGTATAGCTAGTAGTGGGATTGCTGTGTTGCAAACACAAAATCCTTTAATTATTTGTTGTTTGACTTTTTTTTTAAAAGGAGAGGTCAGGTTCTGCAGCAGGAGGATGAAGGAGGAAACTACTGAAGGCTAAGCTCAGCTCTTATCTTACTGTCCCATGCCTTTCAGCTTTGATTCAAAATGTGCATACTCCACTTAGCAAAACAAAAGCCCAATAGTTAAACCAACCTTCCTTTCCGGGAGAGCCTTTGGAAAGAAATCAGCAGTAGAAGGAAGTTTGAACAAACTCCCTTTGGGATCTGACCATACTCATATTCCTTATCTTCCTTAATAATAATTCTGGTTAATACAGTTATCTCCATCTTATATTTATTTTATATTTCTTTTGGTGTTTTAGTGACTCCCAGCATTGGGTACCTTGATAACTAGCCAACAGGTTTTTATGCTTTTTGTAAGTTAATATATTAAAATTAAGGAGTGTTAAAAGCTTAAAAATTTTACCTAAGTCTGAGCTATAAGACCAAAACAGATACAGGCTCCCAGAGTGATCTGCAGTCTTCTTTTCGTTATAGAGTGATATTCCCACAGCCCAAAGGAAGCGGTTTACTAGAGTAGAAATGGCCCGAGTTCTAATGGAGAGAAACCAATATAAAGAGAGATTGATGGAGCTTCAGGAAGCTGTTCGATGGACAGAGATGATTCGGTTTGTATGAGAAGTACCTCTGGTGTTTTTCTACTTAATTTATTGTTTACCAGGTTTCTGATTGTTAACTAATATTCATTTCTGTGTTCACAACTGGAGTCCTCCCTTGGGGATCCAAGCCCTTCCTCTGTTTACTAGGAAAGGTCTAAAGAAACACTGGCAATTAGAAACAGAATGTGATGGAAGTGGGTGCCTTTGGGGCCAGTAAAGCTTCTTGGAGGATATTCCCACAACCTTTCAAAGGCAGTTGAGTAGTCTGTCGATGAAAATAATCAGTAAACAATCTATAATTGAAATGGAAGAGTTTTTTTGGTGCCAAATGGAGGACTGTAGCCTGGGAGAGAGCCTCTCTGATTACTGACAGATGTGTGGTTTTCAGCACAGTTTTATATCTTGTCAGAACAAGCAAAATCAAACAAGTCAGGGAAACATTCCTTCAGGGTTTCTGAAACACCAGATCAGCATGTACAGAGTGAGGCAGTATGGCCTTGCCACCTGGAAAGGGAGTCTTACCATCAAAAGACTGAGTATCAGCATTGGTGTCCCAGGAAGGGAGGCATTTCACCTTTTATTTTTTTAACATAGACATTCTTTACTTCTGGTCAGTGCACCCTTTTCTTTAATAATTAAAGCGTATGTATAATATATGTTTGATAGTCCACAAATAGGCATTTAAGTTAGCATAACATTTCAATTAAAGTATGTATAAGCCAGAATTCTTCTCCGTACCTCAATATGTGAACATTTCTTTCATCAGTCGTTTTTTAAAAGAATATAGAAACTGATACTACTTTTGCAATAATGTCAGGAAGAGATAAAATTTTCATTTTCAACATAAGAAACAAAATCATTCTTACTCGGTGTCGTCCTGTAAAATAGTCCTGATTTTTTTTCTCCTTTCTGACTAGTCTTGTATAAAAGCAACCTTCCATTGACACCTTTGTCAGTTGGATCTTACTTATTAATGCTGCCATCTAATGGTCATATCCTCAGTAACAGTGTTTGTTACTTCAATTTTAAAGAGTTCATGAAAAGTTTGTAAATTAATTGCCCCCTAATTTGCCCATATTTTTCAGTTTGATTGGTCACATCAGATTTACCAGTAACAGTACACACTGACACATTGTTTTAAACTTTATGAAAGCATTTTCTAACCACTACTTTTACTTGCTTATGATTATATCCTTTACTTAATAGTAGTGAATGAAACATTTTATATAGCACATTTACAATTTTCAAAAGTTGTAATTGCTTATAACTGCTAAGAAGGAAGAAGATAAGTAGTGTCTTGTTTTTGTTGCTAAGTCATACCTGACTCTTTTGCAGTCCAGTGGGCTGTAGCCTGCTAGGCTCCTCTGTCCGTGGGTTTCCCAGGCAAGAGTACTGGAGTGGGTTGCCATTTCCTTCTCCAGGGGATCTTCCCTAACCCAGGGATTGAACCCACGTCTCCTGCATTGGCAAGTGGATTCTTTACCACTGAGCCACCAGGGAAGCCTGATTAGTATCTTAATCTTTATTTATTGGACAAAGAAACCAATATACTAACAAATATGTTCTTAAACACCTGCTTTTAATAAAGAGATTTTGAATAAATAATAAGTAAATAGTTTAACAACTAAGACATATAGTTAGGCTCCACTTTTTGTTACTATTTTTAATTTTCACAGCCAAATGGTAGTCAACAAGTGAAAAAAAAATGGTAACTTTTAACTTTCTCAATTGAATTAAAAGATGTTTTAAAATTAGTCCAAAAAACCCCCCCCAAAACCAGAAAAGGGACCTCTGACAGTGATGGCAAAATCCTTACAGCCATACTGAATCAGTTTGCAGTGCCCTTTTTTAAAAAAAAATTTTGCCTAATTACCTAATCAGTCCAGTTTATTTTCTTTCCTGGTCAGCTTTTCAGCAATTAAAAAATTTTAGTCCTGTGAAAAATGACCCATTAGAACAATAAAGTTACAAGCTAGTTTTTGAGAACTGGAAATATAAGACAAACAGTATCTTTATGTAGAGACAGAGATTTATAATGCAATATTTTAATATTATTTTGATGCAAATGTAATTGCAGTTTCAGACTGTGAATTTTAAATCATTATAACTAAGCTCAAACACATCTTTATTAATCAAAATAGGAACCATTGCAGTCAACACATTTTTGCCAATGAAAAATAAGTTTGTTTATTCCTGTAGTGTAAAAATCTGTACTTCGGGATTCAGCTAACTCTTGGAAAGCATTTTCCGCATCCTGCTGGTTGTGGAAGCACTTTCCCTGCAAAAAGTTGTCAAGATGCGTGAAGTGGTAGTTGGTTTGCCAGAGGTCAGATGAATATGGCGGATGATACTAAACTTCAGTTTGTTCAACTTTTGAGGCATTGGCTGTGTGACATGCCATCAGGCATTATCATGGAGAAGAATTGGGCCCTTTTGGTTGACCAACACTGGCTGTAGGCATTGCAATATTCGGTGCATCTCACTGATTTGCTGAGCATACTTCTCAGATGTAATGGTTTTGCCAGGATTCAGAAAGCTGTAATGGATCACACTGGCAGCAAACCACCAAATAGTGACCATGACCTTTTCTTTTGGTGCAAGTTTGATTTTGGGAAGTGCTTTGGAGCTTCTTCTCAGTCCAGTCACTGAGCTGGTCCGCCACCAGTTGTCAATAAAATCTTACTTTTTGTCACATGTCAATCCCATCGAGAAATAGTTCATCGTTGTTGCATAGGATGAGAGAAGACGACACTTCAGAATGACCATGTTTTTGGTTTTTGGCCAGCTCATGTTGCACCCACTTACCGAGCTTTTTCACCTTTCTAGTGTGTGTCAAATGCCAGATGACCGTAGAATGGTTGACGTTGAGTTCTTTGGCAACTTCTCATGTCTTGTAAGAGAATCAGCTCAGTGATTGCTCTCAGTTGGTCGTTGTCAGCTTCCGATGGCCAGCCACTATGCTGCTCATCTTCAAGGCTCTTGTCTCCTTTGCAAAACTTCTTGAACCACCACTGCACTGTGTGTTCATTAGCAGTTTCTGGGCCAAATGTGTTGTTGATGTTACGCGTTGTCTCCGCTGCTTTACGACCCATTTTGAACTTGAATAAAAAAATCACTTGAATTTGCTTTTTGTCTAACATCATTTCCCTAGTCTAAAATAAATATAAGATAAACAGCTAGTAAAAAGTCATTAACAAAAAAGCATAAAGCAAGAAATACACATTAAAATGATGTATAACATGACCACATTTATTTAAGAATGTATTCCAGTATCAAACAGCAAGTTTCAACAATGCAACCCTGCAATTACTTTTGTACCAACCTAATAAAAAGGAAAGTTGGAGGATAGCTCATAAAAAATTTAAACATTAACATTCAGGCTTGTTGGTTGTCTGTCCTGCACAAATAGCAATTTTTTCTCTATCACTACTCTGAGCTCTTGAGGAAGGGATGGAATTTCAATATTATTAGTTGTGTTGTCCTTAACAGACTGACTGACACATATAGATCAAAGTAATTTTTTATTAAACTTGATTCTCCATGTATTTCATGAGCTTCTTGGGTCCCTGGTTGTTTAGATAGAAAGCTAGACCGTCTCACTGATGACACATTCATTTAATCTCTCCCTCCTTCTCTTTCCTTTTCCCTTTCCATGTAGTGCGTCAAGAGAAAATCCAGCCATGCAGGAGAAGAAGAGGTCAAGCATTTGGCAGTTGTAAGTATCTAAAATCATATGAAGACATTAGACAGCAGCACTTTGAGACAAAGAAGATTAGAATCAATCTGTTTTCACAAATGATTTCTTTCTTCTTAGTTTCCTTTTTAAATTCAGGGTATATAGCTAAACTGAACTTTTTCTCTTTGGTATGTAGTATGCCAACTCGGTAAGGCTGTTCTTGAGGACAAAAAAATTAGTGTTATCGTAAGCTGCATCATGTTGGTTGTGCATTTGGTGGCATCCTCTGCTCAATTAAATAGAATAATGGGGAATTATTTTTAGAGTTCATGATTTCCTAGATCCCCATTAAATAAGTTACTGATTCATTAACTGTGTGATTTTAAGAAAATTTATTAGAGAGCGAAGATTAAAAATTTAGTGTTTGTGGGGTTTGAGTAGTGTGTATATGTTTGTGCTTTGGACTTGAACTGTGTTTGTGCCAGGAGTACTACGCATTTATTGTGCTTAAAACTTACCCCTTTTTGAGGAATCTGCTATTTAATAGAAAAAGGTTTTTTTTCTTTTTGAGTGAATGTGAAAAATAGTTACTTAAATTGAGGTTAGTAAGGAAATTTATAAGATGTGTGTTAAAATGGTAATATGTGTTCTAGTACTTTATTATAACTATTTTTAAAAGTTGCTTACTAAGCTTCTCTTCAAACCACACAGCTGTACCTTGCTATTTAACAACCACTGGCTGGCTAAAGGAACCGTCTTATTTCTTCTTTATGAGAAAGTCTCTGTACTCAAGAGCTTCTTCCTTTCATTACGAGAGTTACTAACTAAAGAACAGGGATTTGCCATTCTAGGCAATGGTTTCTCTTTCCTGAATGTCTGAGTTTGGCTGTGAATTATTGCTAAGACTCCAGTGTGTTACTGCAAAAAGTCTTTTTGCTAGTTTCTAACTCATTGCCTTGTAAAAACTCTGGAATTTGTAAAGAATTATTGGTCTTAAGCATGCGTTGGTCTTAAGCATGCATGTGATACATACACACACCCCACACACACATTCTCTCTTACTTTCCTTTTAGTTTCAGCCGACTTTTCAGCTCCTCAAGTAACACTACTAAGAAGCCCGAACCACCAGTTAATCTGAAGTACAATGCACCAACCTCTCATGTTACTCCTTCCGTCAAGAAAAGAAGCAGCACCTTATCTCAACTCCCTGGGGATAAGTCCAAAGCCTTTGATTTTCTTAGCGAAGAGTAAGTATTTTCCAGACTAATGGTTATGCTCTAAATAACAGTTTAGAATATTCTTGCCTCTTTTCAGATCAGTTATAAGGGTTCAGATGGAACTATAAATGGCTTCCCTAGTGGCTCAGAGAGTTAAGAATCTGCCTGAAATGCAGGAGACCTGGGTTTGATCCCTGGGTTGGGAAGATCCACTAGAGAAGGGAGTGGCTACCCATTCCAGTATTCTTGCCTGGGGAATTCCATGGAAGGAGTAGCCTGGCGGGCTATAGTCCATGGGTTGCAAAGACTCTGACATAACTGAGCGACTAACACTTTTTGTTGTAAGAGGAAATTGGGTTCCCATCCTGACTCTGTTCCTCACTAGATACATGAACCTGGGAATGTTAACCTATCAGAGCCCTGCCTATAAATGAGCATGATAGCCTACCTCAGAGGTGTTAGGATTCAATTATATATTATCTGTAAACTGACACAAAGGTAATTTTTTCTTGTTATTTCTATTTTAGCAGAAGAAGAGAGATAAGCTATTGTTATATTCAAGTAATTAAAAAAGGAAATTTCCTTTTCTTTTAGAACTGAAGCTAGTTTAGCCTCACGCAGAGAACAAAAGAGAGAACAATATCGTCAGGTAAAGGCACATGTTCAGAAGGAAGATGGTAGAGTGCAGGCTTTTGGCTGGAGTCTGCCTCAAAAGTACAAACAGGTAACGTTTGAATATGTTAAGAGCTTCTAGTGGGAAATACAGAGAGAGAGGAGTAGGCCTGGGCATGAAAGATTATAAATACATATCCCAAACCTACTGGTTTCAAGCAGCATGAATTTAGCACATGTTTAGAGAAGCATTAAGGATTGTGGTTTTGTTTTCAGGCTGTTTTCTAGAGCCTTACAGTTCAAAAGAAATGCCTCCGAGTTCTGTGAAGAGGGAGAGGGGTCAATATAGGAGGTGGCTGAGTATGGGACTTTGAGATAACGTACTCTGTTTTAATATTGAAGATTTCATTTAAAAGAAAATTAGTATCATTTAAACATTAAAAGAAGTCTTCCTTATGGAGCCTTTCAAACTGTTAACTTAAAACTCAATTCATGTCTTTCAAGAATATATTCCCTACCCCTCAAACACACACACAACACACACAGTCAAACCCACATGTGTGTACTAACAGGTCTGTGAATTAGTGTATGTTTTCTGAGCTCCCTTATTTTCTCTAATTACCACTTGATTTTCTGCTCATTTTTCAAGTAAGAAAGACAAAGTTAACTTAACTTGACTTCATAGAGTAAATATGTTATAGCAGTGCTTGCCCATGTCTCAGTGGTTCTGTAAGTTCACTTTTGATGAGACTTACCCAATGTGTCCTTCTCTCTCCTTCCAAATTATTAGGTAACCAATGGACAAGGGGAAAATAAGATGAAAAATTTACCTGTGCCTGTCTATCTCAGACCTCTAGATGAAAAAGATACATCAATGAAGGTAAATTAATCTTGAAATTAAAGGTAATGTTACTTAAAGTCTTGATGGATTTTTTCTAAAACAAAAGGAGTTTAAATTCTACTTTCTTGGGCAAAGTTTCTCATTTTGTCATTTTAGACTGAAATAGTTTGAATATTAGAGCCCTCTCTTTGTAATCATTACATCTATTAAGGAAATGTGAAAAGTTCTAAACATTTTTAGAGAGAAAATGAGTAATACCATCTTTTTTTTTTTAAACCCAAAAAGCTGTGGTGTGCTGTTGGAGTCAATTTGTCCGGTGGGAAGACCAGAGATGGTGGTTCTGTTGTTGGAGCAAGTGTATTTTACAAGGATGTTGCTGGTTTGGAAGCAGAAGGCAGTAAACAGCGAAGTGCATCTCAGAATAGCTTAGACAAGTTAGATCAGGAACTTAAGGTAAGTGCTTGCATTGCATTTGCCCCAGTTTCTGAGACTAAGAGTTTAGCTCTTCGGTCTCAGACTTACTTCTAGGTCCAGCTTCTAATTGGGGTTACTATGTCCTTGATTACTCCTCATCCCTGCCCTCACTCTTTTTTTTTTTTTTTTTCATTTATTTTTATTAGTTGGAGGCTAATTACTTTACATCATTGCAGTGGTTTTTGTCATACATTGAAATGAATTAGCCATGGATTTACATGTATTCCCCATCCCGGTCCCCCCTCCCACCTCCCTCTCCACCTGATCCCTCTGGGTCTTCCCAGTGCACCAGGCCCGAGCACTTGTCTCATGCACCCAACCTGGGCTGGTGATCTGTTTCACCCTAGATAATATACATGTTTCGATGCTCTTCTCTTGAAACATCCCGCCCTCGCCTTCTCCCAGAGTCCACAAGTCTGTTCTATACATCTGAGTCTCTTTTTCTCTTTTGCATATAGGGTTATCGTTACCATCTTTCTAAATTCCATATATATGTGTTAGTATACTGTAATGATCTTTATCTTTCTGGCTTACTTCGCTCTGTATAATGGGCTCCAGTTTCATCCATCTCATTAGAACTAATTCAAATGAATTCTTTTTAATGGCTGAGTAATATTCCATGGTGTATATGTACCACAGCTTCCTCATCCATTCGTCTGCTGATGGGCATCTAGGTTGCTTCCATGTCCTGGCTATTATAAACAGTGCTGTGATGAACATTGGGGTGCACTTGTCTCTTTCAGATCTGGTTTCCTCAGTGTGTATGGCCAGAAGTGGGATTGCTGGGTCATATCCTGCCCTCACTCTTAAGTCAGTTTTACTAGAGTATATTTTACATTCAATAAAGTATACTCTCAAAATAAGTACAGTTCAAAGAGTTTTGACAAATTGTGAACATGTGTAACAACTATCACAGTCAAGATAGAGAACATTTTTTATCACTGATAACTACTAGTTTTTCATCTACTGATTATTGTTGAAAGGTGATTATACTCTCAGCCTTCTAAATAATCTGGAAGTGAACTTTAAATAGTAGTGTCCTTTAGTGTAATAGCACAGCCATATAAATATTTATGCACACATCTCATTTTAAACATTCATTTTCTTTGCTTTGCCTATGCAGGAACAACAGAAGGAGTTAAAAAATCAAGAAGAATTATCCAGTCTAGTCTGGATCTGTACCAGCACTCATTCAGCTACAAAAGTTATCATTATTGATGCTGTTCAACCAGGCAACATCCTAGACAGTTTCACTGTTTGTAACTCTCATGTTCTGTGTATATCAAGCGTACCAGGTAAGAGTAGTTCCTTTCTTTGCACCATCCACACCTCCTCACTGGTAGAAACTGATTGGTTACTGGAGATACAGTTATGCATCTCTTCTAATTTTTGAAGGCGAAAAAGAAACTGAGTTCAAATGACTAAGGAGGATATTTTCAGATACTGTGAAAAAAATAAAACAATGGAAATTTGCGAAGGGTGGAAAACAGAGGGCAAAGGGCTATTTAAATGGATTAGTATGGAAAGGCCTTTTAGAATTACATATTAAATACTATATGATATTAAAACATTGGTTTAAAAATTAAAGGAAATTCCCTGATAGTCCAGTGGTTAAGACTTTGTGCTTCCACTGCAGGGGTATGGGTTCAATCCCTGGTTGGGGAACTAAGATCCGACATGCCACGCAGCACAGCAAAAAAAAAAAAGTTGATGTACAGCATGAAATATTATTCAGCCATGTAAAGGAATGAGATTCTGATACGTTCCATAACATAGATTAACCTTAGAAACAACTCAGACACAAATATTGTATGATTCTACTTATCTGAGCTGTCTATTAATCTGAGCTGGCCAGTTCATAAACAGAATTAAATTAGAGAATTCCTGGGGTAAGGGCATGGCGATCAGAGTTATTTACTTGGTATAGGTATTCTATATGAAGTGACAGAAAAATGTTGGATGCAGATAGCTGTGATGGCTGCACAACATTGTGAATATAATTAATGCCTCTGAATTATACACTTAAAATGGTTAATATGGCAGACTTTATGTAGTGGCTCAGATCATGAACTCCTTATTGCAAAATTTATACTTAAAGAAAGTAGGGCAAACCAGTAGACTGTTCAGGTATGATATAAATCAAATCCCTTATGATTATACAGTGGAGGTGACAAATGGATTCAAGGGATTAGATCTGACAGAGTATCAGAAGAACTATGGATGGAGGTTTGTAACATTGTACAGGAGGCAAAACCAAAACCATCCCCAAGAAAAAGAAATGCAAAAAGGCAAAATGGTTCTCTGAGGAGGCCTTACAAATAGCTGAGAAAAGAAGAGATGTGAGAGGCAAAGGAGAAAAGGAAATATACCCATCTGAATGCAGAGTTCCAGAGAATAGCAAGGAGAGATAAGAAAGCGTTTTTCAGTGGACAATGCAAAAAAAAATAGAGGAAAAAGCAATAGAATGGGAAAGACTAGAGATCTCTTCAAGAAAATTAGAGATACCAAGGGAACATTTCGTGCAAAGATGGACACAGTGAAGGGCAGAAAAATGGTAAGGACCCAGCAGAAGCAGAAGATACTAAGAGGAGGTGGCAGGAATACATAGAAGAACTATACAAAAAAGGTCTTAATGATCCAGATAACCATGATGGTGTGATCACTCACCTAGAGTCAGACATCCTGGAATGTGAAGTCAAGGAAGCATTACCCCGAACAAAGCTAAAGGAGGTGATGGAATTTCAGCTGAGCTATTTCAAATCCTAAAAGATGATGCTGTGAAAGTACTGCACTCAGTATGTCAGCAAATCTGGAAAACTCAGCAGTGGCCACAGGACTGGAAAAGGTCAGTTTTCATTCCAGTCCCAGAGAGGGGTAATGCCAAAGAATGTTCAGACTATCATACAGTCGCCCTCATCTCACATGCTAGCAAGGTAATGCTCAAAATCCTTCAAGGTATGCTTCAACAGTATCTGAACTGAGAAATTTCAGATGTACAAGCTGGATTTAGAAAAGGCAGAGGAACCAGAGATCAAATTGCCAACATCCATTGGATCATAGAAAAAGCAAGGGAATTCCAAAAAAACATCTACTTCTGCTTCATTGACTATGCTAAAGCCTTTGACTGTGTGGATCACAACAAACTGGAAAATCCGTCAAGAGATGGGAATACCAGACCACCTTACCTGCCTCCTGAGAAATCTGTATGCAAGTCAAGAAGCAACAGTTAGAACCAGACACGGAACCACAGACTGGTTAAAAAATGGGCAAGGAGTATGTCAAGGCTTTATATTGTCACCCTGCTTATTTAACTTAACATTCAGAGTATGTCATGTGAAATACCGGCTGGATAAAGCACAAGCTGGAATCAAGATTGCCGGGAGAAATATCAATAACCTCAGATATGCAGATGACACCACCCTTATGGCAGAAAGTGAAGATGAACTAAAAAAAGCCTCTTGATGAAAGTGAAAGAGGAAAGTGAAAAAGTTGGCTTAAAGCTTAACATTCAGAAAACTAAGATCATGGCATCTGGTCCCATCACTTCATGGCAAATAAATGGGGGAAAAAATGGCAACAGTGACGTCTTACTTTCTTGGACTCCAAAATCACTGTGGACAGTGACTTCAGCCATGAAATTAAAAGACTCCCACTCCTTGGAAGGAAAGCTATAACAAACCTAGACAGTGTTTTAAAAAGCAGAGCCATCACTTTGCCAACAAAAGTCCATATAGTCAAAGCTGTGGTTTTTCCAATAGTTATGTATGGATGTGAGAGTTGGACCATAAAGAAGGCTAAGTGCCAAAGAATTGATGCTTTCGAACTGTGGTGCTGGAGAAGACTCTTGAGAGTGTCTTGGACATCAGGGAGATCAAACCAGTCAATCCTAAAGGAAATCAGCCCTGAATATTCACTGGTAGAACTGATGCTGAAGCTGAAGCTCTAATACTTTGGCCACTTGATGTAAAGAGCCAACTCATTGGTAAAGACCCTGTTGCTGGGAAAGATTGAAGGCAGGAGGAGAAGGGGATGACAAAGAATGGAATGTTTTGGTGGCATCACCAATCCAATGGACAGGAGTTTGAGCAGACTGTGGGAGTTAGTGAAGGTCAGGGAAGCCTGGTGTGCTGCAGTCATGGGGGAACAAAGAATCAGATACAACTGAGTGACTGAGCAACAACATATGTATATTTTACTACAGTAAAAATTTTTAATGTGATATGGATAAGAATAGCTTTCTAAATAAAGAGAACTGAAAAGATTTTTTTAATGTTAAATGCTTAGTTTTTAAGTGTGTTACTAATATCTTAATGCACTGTATACTATATTAATGCTATATTAATTTTCAATAGTGGCAGAAATTCATATTTGAAATAGAAATAGTGATAATTAAAAAAATTTTTGCTGACTTGTCAGATAGAATTATATTTTGTTGTTTTTAATCTCATTAGTTGGCGGCTTTAAGAACTCATATTAAGAACAGAAATACATTTCTGACATTTTTTGGTTTACTTGTGCTTGCATTAATTATTATTATTGTTGCATTTATTATCTTAATTTTTAAAATTACTTTCTCAGTTTGTGAATTGAGTTTAAATTAAATAAAATTTATTTACCATCTTGGCAGTATATTTGCATAGGTATTTGTCTCACCTTTACTCTTATTTCAAACCTATAATTGCCTTAATAGAGCAAATGCTACTTATAGAAGTTTACTGAGCTATTTAAAGAAGGTTTATCTTGTACTTCAGGAGCCCGAGAAACAGACTACCCTGCAGGAGAAGAGCTTTCAGAATCTGGACAAGTAGACAAAGCTTCTTTATGTGGAAGCATGACAAGCAATAGCTCAGCAGAGACAGATAGCCTGTTGGGAGGCATCACGGTCGTTGGTTGTTCTGCAGAAGGTGTGATAGCAGCTGCCACTTCCCCTAATACCAATGAAACTTCTCCAGTGATGGAAAAACCGCCAGGTATGTTTGTCTTCTTTAGATACCATCTGTATCGAATCTGAGCCTGTCCCAGGTGACTCATTATGGACTTAACTTAGATTTTAAAGTAACAGGGATGAAAGAGCTTGACAGAGGATGCTGTGATGATTGTTAAATGAAATCAAGAATCCTCAATTTTATTATATAATATGGAGAAGAGGAGGGTAAGAGTGGAATTCTATAGAGAGGGTTTGGGTGGGGGAAGTGATTGGAAGAAAAGCTCAAACTTGGAATGGTTAGCGTGCTTTATTTATTTTTTAGAAAAGGAAACAGAAAATAGTGAGATTGATGAAAATGTTCCAACAGCAGAAGAAGCAACTGAAGCTACAGAAGGCAATGCAGGATCAGCTGAAGATACTGTGGATGTCTCCCAAACTGGCGTGTACACAGAGCACGTTTTTACAGATCCTTTGGGAGTTCAAATCCCAGAAGACCTCTCACCAGTATATCAGTCAAGGTATAAAAATGGGTAAACAACTTAGGAAACCAGAGTGCACATGTAAAAGGAACCAAAATGATCTCAAGCAGCCAAAATATTCCTACTAATTGACATTGTTGTGGCAGATTTAGATGTTATTACTTATTCCCACTATGTCTTCATCTGTTCCTTACATTTTGTTTTCTCTAGACATATTTTTTCCCCCATTTGCTCCAACTTAAAAAAATCTTGCTTATAAAGTATATTAGTCAAAATCCTTACCAGTCAGTGGGGATTAAAATAATGAGTTATTAACAGAATAGAAGACAGTGATTACAGTTTTTTAAAAAAGCCATACCAAATATCTATGGATTTTAAAAAAAAATTGTACTCATTGTCTTATTATTGTACTCACTTGTTATTATTCTGTTAATAGCTCATTATTTTAATCCCCACTCCTTCACCCACTCTATCCATAAAACTGGCCATTTAAATTTTCCATGTGGGTTTTAATGACCTTTTGAATTTAGATTTCTGGCAAATATTTTATTAGAAAACAATTTGTTTCAGACTTTTCCTTCAAAAGAAAGAGTTGTTTAGTTTTCTTTCTTGCCTTCTCTAGGCCTTATAGAAAGCTGATAGGGGTCTAAAGTCATCTTGTTAGACTTACTGATTCATTTGTCTGTTTTGAATTTGATAGCCCAGTTATGCTTTTTTTTTAAACTAAATGTCCTCTGACAGTCCAAAGAAATAAAGTTTTGGGGTAGAATAAAAGCATGTTTCAGCTTATTTATTTTGTTTATAATTGTTTATAATTAACCCTCCTGTGTTTGTTTGTCTGTGTGTGTGTGTGTGTATGTATGTATGTGTAGTTTTAAAACAAACCATGTCTCCTCCTCCTCTCCCCACAGAAGAAACTCATAAAATTCAAGATAACTATAAGGAGAACCTTAACTTTAGTCTGGATATTAACTGCTATATTTCATTACAGTGTCTTATTTCCCTTATCTGTACCTTGAGCCTCCTAGTATGTCAGTGTTACTTCTGGTACAATTGCTGCAATACCTTTCATTCTTTCTTATTCTCCCTCCCCTCCGCCTCCCATTGCCTTGCTTTGCCTTGCCTGCCTGCCTTGTCTGCCTGCCTGCCTGCCTGCCTGCCTTCCTTCCTCCACCCTCCCTCCCTCCCTTTCTCACTGTCTCTGAAATGTTTAATATAAGCATTTAACTTTGGCTTTACTGGAATTTATTTTTTAACAATACACTAAAATGTAGAAATTAACAATTCCTGAAACCTCAGCTAAACACAATAAGATTTTTTTTCCTTTTGTCCCACCTTTTCCAGTAATGACTCAGATGCATATAAAGATCAAATATCAGTATTGCCAAATGAACAAGACCTGGTGAGAGAGGAAGCCCAGAAAATGAGTAGCCTTTTACCAACTATGTGGCTTGGAGCTCAAAATGGTTGGTAGGTATCAACACTTTTAATATTAGAAATCTTTAGTCTTTCACTTTTGCTTTAGGAATCTTAAGATAACTAAAATGTGCTACATACAAATACAAACAAAAAGTGCCTATTAAAATGAAGAATTTTATATACACACAATTTTCAAGTTATATTGCAACTACCTCATAAATTGGACTTGGACTTGCATTGGTTCTGAATGGTAAACTGTATGTCTGTCATAGGATGTTCCCTTTATATAATATTCTTGGAAAAAAGTTAAGTAAACTTTAAAATCTGGGTGATCTAGAAATAGGAGATCCTGAACAACAGAAGTTATTTAAGAAATAAAAGGGATTAAAAAAATCTCTTGTTGCAGAAAGGCCCAATTTTAAACATAACTCCTGGGAAAACAAGGACAAATCACAGTCTAAAAGCTTAGGAGCTGATAAACACTATAGGACTTTTCCACTTTGTAGTAGTGTGAAGAGTCTTACAAACTTGTGCTTTTCCTAAGGTTAAACAAGATCACTAGTGCATCTTTCCCATAAAGGACTGATACTACAAAATGAAGGTTTGACATACTTTTTCTCTGTGAAGGGTCAGACAAGAAATGTATCAGGTTTTGTTGCCTTATCTTTCTAGCAACTTCTTAACTATGCTGTTGTGGTGCAAAAGCAGCCACTGCGTTGACAATACCTAAGTGAACTGGTGTGGATATGTTCTAACAATAAAACTTATGAACCCTGAATTTCATATAAATCTTGTATGCCATGAAATACTCTCCCTTTGGTTTTTTTTCCAACCGTTTAAAAAATGTAAAGACCATTTTTAGCTTGCAGACTGTACTAAGACAGATAGATGGCCTTTGGGCCTTAGTTTGCCACTCCCTGATGTAAACTGCTCTGTTATCAGAAATTTATAGCTCAGTGTAGTAGAAAAGTAAAAAGACTGTTTTTTTTAAAAGGTTGATAGCCAAGGATTGTTAAGTATGCGGCAATCTGAAAGCAACCATGCATTAGTTCTGGCTTTTCATTCTTTTTATGTTTCTGTTTGCTTAAGCAGCTTATTTCTCTGCCTTAGGCCTATCCTTTTCCTTGTTTTGTCCTGAAATTTTTATGTTATTCTTCTTTTCTTTTGAAGAAACTTTGTGTCATTATTAGATATAAGCAACTACTTGATGTGTTCTCTATGCCTTACCAGTCTTGATTTTGTTCTTGCAGTTTGTATGTCCATTCATCTGTAGCCCAGTGGAGGAAATGTCTCCATTCTATTAAACTTAAAGATTCGATTCTCAGTATTGTGTAAGTTTTATTTTAGAAATTCTTCCTTTGAAAAATCTGTATTTTGGTATAAACTAGATTCTAAGACTATTAAAGTTAACATGTACTTCATGACTAAATCAGTATCCATGTCTTTTTTAACCCTCTTTATGAATGAGGTTGAAACTAGAAAATAAACCAGAGAATTGTAAGTAGAAGAGAAAACTTGCCAGGTTGATTCCTCACTGTACTGAGAGTTCTTTAGTCTGTTGGCGAGAAAACCAATTAAAAACCGTGATATTTGTTTTAGCCTACTCTTTATACTTTGTGAATACGTTGATTGGGTGATTGACTTACTAGTCCTTTTCTGTATGTTGACTGTCAGAAGCCAGTCTGTCTCTTAGATCCACAGAGCTCTCTCTACTCAAGGTCTGTGGACCTTTTGTCTGCAAGGAGAGGAGGTTAGAAAGTGAAACAGCTGAGTCACCACACATGCTTCCTATTTAGTCCAGCTGACATTTTCACAGCGAGACTTTTCTCAATGAAGAAAAGAATCTGTTCCTTTAGATTGTCCTGTAAGCTCCTTACATCACAGATTGGCCTTCTGAGAACCTCTGAACTAGTTCAGTAGCATGTGGTGTCTTCTGTATTCCGAAATGGAGAGTTCTAAAATCCCCTTTCCTATTTGCAGACATGTGAAAGGAATTGTGTTAGTGGCCCTAGCTGATGGTACCCTTGCAATCTTTCACAGAGGAGTTGGTGAGTTGTTATGAATATATAACATGTGCACTGATCTGTTGCTTTGCAAGAGCATTTTCAAACAGATTGACCTCTTATGTTTTAAAGAAATGATATTTCATAGGAGAAAGAATAAAGGTTTAAACTGAATACTAACCATGTATGACATGAGTAAATATGTGAGTGCTTGACTGGAGGCATACATTAATCATATACCTCAGTGAAAATTTCTTACCATACTGAGCAAATAGTCGTTATGGTTCTCTTAAATAATGTGCAGTGGAAGCATTTATTTGTTTTCTAGTCATAGACCTAATTTAGTGAGAGAATATGTTTTCTTTTGACAAGTATTTTAAACATAATTTGCATTCACTTACATTTGGAATGTTCTTGAAAAGAATTTTTAATTAGGTAAAGTTTAATCATTTTTTTGTCATGTTTTTTATATTCTTCCCCTTTAAAACAGTGTTTCTGCAAAAACCACTGCAACATTGTAAAGTAATTAGCCTCCAACTAATAAAAATAAATGGAAAAAAATAAAATAAAATCTGTGGACTAGCCAAAAAAAAAAAAAAAACAGTGTTTCTACCATCTGCAGACAGAAGGTGTCAGAAAACTGCATTGAGTGAATTAAAGAAATTGAGCATATAATTCCTTGGTTCATGTATCATCCAAAAGTGATATTTCCTTGCTACTAGATTGGTGGATCAGGGAAATATTATAAAAATGTAGATCCACTAAACTTAAATTTTTGGGAGGCTTTTCCAAAGTCTCTTGTCTTTTTGCAGCCTCAAGAAATGTGAGGTAGATGATACTTAGGTGCCTAGAGACTTTTGGTTAATGACTCCATTACGAAAAGAGAGGCCTCTTTTCGTTGTTCAGGGCCTTTATAGACTGTATCTGAGTTTAATCCTCACAACAACTTGTGAAGAAAATTCTATTGTCATCCTCATTTTGTAGTTGAGGAAACTGAGGCACAGTATTTTAATTACTTGTTCATGGTCACTCAACTAGTGAGTCGGAGAACCTAGAAAAATGGAATGATAAATGTTTTAGTAAATTGAATCCAAAACTCATCAAGACAAAATACATTTAATAAGGATAAATGTAAAGTCCTGCATTTGGGTTCCAAATACTAGATGGAGATGTGTGTGAAGACTGACAGCTACCTAAAGGGTGACATTAAACTCAGTATAAGTTAGTTAACATGCTAAACATCATAGAAATTAGTGTCCAGAGCAGGGCTGGTGATTCTGCTCCACTCTGGTAGAAAGATAGCATGAAATGAATCTGGACAAAGTGGAGTTAGAATGAAAGTTCCATAAACTGATGTGTCCAAAACACAGGCCGAGGATGGTTTTGAAAAGACAGGTTTTGAGAAGACAGGGCAGTAGCAATGAAGTGAGACTAGATTTATTCTGTGTTTCCATTAGGCAAAACTATAGATTAATGAATGATTGTGTGCAAGAAGGAAGACTTTAGCTGAGTATGGGGAATTTTTGGGGGGGGGAATATTTTTAAGATAATTACAGTTTTAAAATGAAACAGCTTCTTTGTGTTGAAGTATGTTTTCCTTCACTGAAATTATCGAGCAAAGCAAGCTTACAGTGGTTGGTTCTCATTTGTAATGAATTTGTCATCACTAAAGTTATGCATAATTCCTAAAGCATTAGCAGTGAGTTGCCCCTGACTTCTACCTAAGAAGATACATCAAAAATGCAAGTGAGCCAGAGTGATATTATGCCCAAAATAACCTTAAATTCATTCTAATACTTAAAATACTTTTGTAAACAGGTAAGTTAAAAATAACTTATCACATCACCTCTGTTGAGAGCAAGGGGGTCCAGGTAATGGGTGGCAGATTGGACCATATGATCTTTGAGGTCTCGTCCAACTCTGTTTGATTTATATCTGATTTACAGATTTAATTTATAGATTAATATCTGTAATGTATACACTGTGTGTGTATATATAATATATATCTGTAATATATACAGCTTGCCTGGGATTAATATCTGTAAATATACACCAAAATACATGATATTTGGGGGTGCTTCATTAATAAATTTAATTACACACCCAAATAAAATATTTCTTGTGTTAAAATTGAGTAAAAGATGGTATACATAAACTAATCATCTATTTCTTATTTTAAAGATGGACAGTGGGATTTGTCAAACTATCACCTGTTAGATCTTGGACGACCTCACCATTCCATCCGATGCATGACTGTGGTACATGACAAAGTTTGGTGTGGCTATAGGAACAAAATTTATGTAGTTCAGCCAAAGGCCATGAAAATAGAGGCAAGTTAACCCATGTTTTCTGAACTTAGTGAATTTATATTACCTGAAATCCCTAAGATTTAATTATTTTCAGCTTTTTTAGAAATTATTTTCTGAACCTGTGTATTTTGAGGTACTTCAGTGATATACTGGATGAATTCTCATTTTTCTATGGTACTTTATCTTTCTTGCTGCTTTTGACTATGAGTATGGGAAGTGAGTTTTTTCAAGGAAAGAAGATTCACACGTGAATGTCTAAATGCATGTCTGAGTTATCAGTAGACCCATACGTATATGGCTTGAATACATGGTTCTTGGAATGTTTAGTCACGTAGAGATGGTTTGGGAGGAGAGCTCTCAAGTCTCCCCCACTACTCAGTGTACATATGTCACACTGAGCAATAATACTGCAGTGGGAAGTTTTTGTAAAAACAAAAGCCTCTTGGCATTATTATCTTTAAAAAGTTTTGCCATATATACAAATTTATTCTAATTGTTTAAAGAAAGAAAAATAGTAGGAAATTTTTAAGATGGAAGTTCTCCATTTGTCCCAAATCCTGTTTACAAGCCTAGAAGTTCCATTTGGTGTTTAGATATATTCCTTACATGCAGGTATATACTTACAGATACAGCAGAGTAGGTTCATTTTTGTTTCAGTATAAATAGGATCTTATTTTGTGTATTGCTCTGGAACAATGCAAAATCCCGAGGTCCAATTCAGTCTTTTTGTTGAATGCTGTTACATAAAATGAATGTGTCAAGATTGCTGTCATAAGTTGATAGTCTACACAACATCCTTTAGTTCTTTTTTCTTTTTTTTGCAGTATGGGATAATAGCAATTGTGTATATGAGTAAACACTATTTAGGCTCCTCTTTTATTAGGTAGTCTGTTAAATTATTGCACAAATTAGCACAATTTTTAAATACTAACTCCTAGATAATTCAAGTAACACTGTGATTGAACAATCTTTTCTAGAAATCATTTGATGCACACCCCAGGAAGGAGAGCCAAGTGCGGCAGCTTGCCTGGGTGGGTGATGGTGTGTGGGTCTCCATTCGTTTGGATTCCACACTCCGTCTCTATCATGCACACACTTACCAACATCTGCAGGATGTGGACATTGAGCCTTATGTAAGCAAAATGCTAGGTAAGCATCCAAAGCATTTTATCTTTGTCAGTCAAAGAAAATGGTTTATTTTTAAATGATTTCAAATACTGAGTAGAACCAGTTAGTAAGTTGCCTCAGGAATAGTGATCTCTTATCACTGAAACTGTTGGCAAATGATCCGTCTACCCTGTGATTCTTGACAAAAACTTAAGATCATTTTTGACTCTTCCTTTCTTGTTCCCCACATGTCATCCCACATCAATGGGAACTATCGAGTCTTCCCCCCAGAATATCTTAAACCAGTAATGTCTTTTTTTGGCCACACCACACGACTTGGGGATCTTTGTTCCCCAGCCAGGGATTGAACCCATGGCCCACAGTGAAATTGCCAAGGCCTAACCACTGAACCACTAGGGAATTCCCTTAAATGAGTTACGTCTTTTTCTCTACCACTATTCCCATAGGCCAGGTCACCATCCTTTCCTCCTCAGATGACCAACAGCCTCTGATCTTCCTGTCTCTACTCCAGTCAGTTTTCTACATAGTAACCAGTGTGCAAATATCACCATGACATACCTCCATTTATGTAATGCCAGCCATGCAGAATATTCTTGTCTTTAGGTGAGATTTTTTTGTGACATTATTAGAAGAGCTTAAATGGTATGGACAGCTCTCCTTGCTCACTCTGGTCTGTCCACGCTGACCTAAATTCAACAGGTTCCTTCCCATTTCAAGGCCTTCACATGGTGCTATATCTTCTGTCTGAGAAGTTTTTCTTAGTCCCTTTTTACTTGGCTTTCAGGTCATGTCTTATATGTCACATCCATAAAAGACCTTTCCTCATCTTTATTTCCAGGTTTATTTAGGCCCTCTTATACTTTTCCTTCATGGACTTATCATTACTGTGATTGTACCAGTATCATCATACTGTCTCTCCCCCTGCAGAACTAAAGCCCCATGAAAGGGGGCTTTAGACTATCTCTGGCTTATTCCTTGAAGTATCCTTAGCACCAAATCCAGTGCTGTTAGGAACATCATAGATGATTTCTTTATGAAGAGAGTTTGAACTATATCAGTGGTTTTTAACTTTTTTTTAGAATCGTTGCCCTCAGAAAACTGATGATAGCTGTGTGCCCTCTTCCTAGAATCACACATATATAAACATAGACACAAACCAATTTCAGTAATATACTTTGACCATAGGTTAAAGATCTCTAGTTTAGACTGTTTAAGATTCCTTCAAACACTGCAATTCTATGGTCATACTCTCACTTCTAGTAAGTAGAACTTATGACTAAATGTTGTTTGTCTTAAATGTATTAATATTACAATCTGTTTAATAATTTTGCCTCTCACATCCCTGAAAATAAGATCAGTTTAAAATTCCCTTGAAATTAAAAAGTGCATTAATTCTCCCTATATTATATGCATATGGTGTCCTAAAATTTCTACGTTACTTTAGACCCAAATATATAAAAAGGAAAGAATATAGGTTTTGTTAGCAAAGATCATTTCTTAACCTATGCAAAGAAATTTAAGGCAAGCAAGAACTCTCTAAGCTTATAAAACAGAAGAACATTTAATTTCCCCAATCTAGTAAACTGTTTTTGTTGAGCTTTTTTTTTGTTTTGTTTTGTGTTTTGGTTTATTTGGCTTGGTTTTGCAGGTCCTTAAGTAAATTCTGCATTGTATCTCCTAATTCATATCATCTTCCTTCTGAATGATGATATAATGCTAGCCGCTTTTAGAGTTTTCTTTTTCTCTTAGCCATGAATTGTCAGATGATATTGATTGATAGATGATAGCCATGAATTGTCAGATGAATTGATAGATAATAAAGTCAAATGAGAGTTGATCTTGATTGATGTGACTTCTGGAAATATCCAAGCAGCTCTGGTCACAATCCTCTCTATTATATTAGTCCAGCTGCTCTGAGGGACTTGGAACCTAAAACATCATCTGCTCTGTCTTTTCAATAAAATGTTTTCCTTCCTTCCATACAGGTACTGGAAAACTGGGCTTTTCTTTTGTGAGGATCACAGCGCTTATGGTGTCTTGTAATCGTTTGTGGGTGGGAACAGGAAATGGTGTCATTATCTCCATCCCATTGACAGAAAGTAAGTACATTTTTAGGTAACTGTCACAGAAGAGTTGTGGGGAGTAGCCTTGTCTGAAATTCAAGTGGAAGGAATTGAGCTAAATCATAGATCTAAATTGGCAAACCTGTGGTAATTCAGAAAGTCAAGCTGATGGCAAAGATCTAACTATTGTTCCTTCACTCTTTCTGTGGAACCTACAAGCTCTAGCAAATGTATCAGGACTAATATTTACAGTTAAAAGTTTTTCATTTTGAAAAACTGTTTTTCTCATTTTGGGCATCACAATCCTATTTCCTTAAATAATGGTCAAAGTCTGTTTTTCTTTCAACCTTATTATGCTAGTATCCAGAAACATTTCCTAACTACCTAATATCCTAGTTTTTCATACCTCTGTGGCAATTAGTTTAGAATATTCCATTTAGCTTATGAGTTGTGGGAGACATTTCTTACTTAGGACATCATCAAACACTGACTTATGTTAGAGATAAGCTATCTTGTATTTGAAAAGAATGTGAACAAAATGTACTTCGTATGTTTTTCGTACTGTGTTCCATTACATTGATCACTCATTATATAAGTAATTTTGTGTTGCAGAATTCATGAGCAGGATTTGAGAAAATTGCCATAAAGTAATTTAATAAATAAACACATCAGAATTTAAAACGAGTTGAAAATATTACCATAAAATAACGTAATAAACACACCAGAATTTTTAGGAGAAAGGAGGAAGACTGGATGGTGTTACATTTTGAGCCTTTAAAGAACCTAAATTTTTTTTTTCTTCTCCCCGACACTGCATGGCTTGCAGGATCTTAGTTCCCCAGCTAGGGATAGAACCTGGGTCCCCAGCAGTGGAAGCATGGAATCCTAACCATTGGATTGCCAGGGAATTCCCTAAAGAACCTAAATTCTTAATTCTAGCTGTATTTTCTTTAAAATTTTTAAAATTTAATTAATTTATTTATTTTTGGGGCCTCCGCTGGGTCTTCATTGCAGCGTGTGGGCTTTTTTAGTCGTGACACACAGGGGCTACTCTCTAGTTGCAGTGCTCGGGCTTCTCATTGCAGTGACTGCTCTTGTTGCAGAGCGCAGGCTTTAGTGTATCTGGGCTTCAGTAGTTCCAGGAATGGGCTCAGGGGCACAGGGCTTAGTTGCCCCCTGGCATGTGGAATCTTCTCAACTTGGAATCAAACCCATGTTCCCTGCATTGGCAGGCATATTCCTAACTAGTGGACCACCAGGGGAGTCCTTTTTTTTTTAATTTTTAAAAAAAATGTTGGCTGTGCAAGGTCTTCATTGCAGCATGCAGGCTTCTTTAGTTGCCCACAGAATGTGGGATCTTAGTTCCCTGACCAAAGATTGAACCTGTGTCCCCTGCATTGAAAGGCAGATTCCTAACCACTGGACAACTACTTATAAATCTACATGTTTAGACCACTTCTTATATCTTACGAGATTCCAGGATCTCCAGAGTTCGTTTCAGTTCTTTATAGATGTGAGTTCCATTTTGGCATAGTCATTTGCACAGGATTTCTTCAAGAAAAGGGGGGAATATTCGCATTTAGGAAATGCTCCCCAGTAAGTTCTTATTCATTGAAATTGCTTTATAATTAAGAAAAGCAAAATCACAGTAAATAAAATTGTCCTTTTTGAGCAGCGATGTTCTTCAGAGGCTTTGGTAAGAACTTTGTATGTTGCTTGGTATTATACCAAGTTGGATTTTGTTTATTTAGTTAGGAGTGTTGAGCTCCTGAGTTGCCAGATAGAATATGCGAAGAGTGGCAGCTCACAGTAACCCTCCTCCTCCCTGTCACGCACCTCTCCATGTCCCCTCTCCTCCTTTCTCACTTCAGCCGTAATCCTCCACCAGGGACGCTTACTGGGGCTGAGGGGTAAGTCCAGATCCTGAGCCACACTCTTCTTCCCGGCTTCTCATGGCCACCGTGAGGCCATTCTCACGTCTCTAGATACCCTCTTGAATGTTCCTAAATGTCATCCACTTGCAATCACTGCATTGCAGCAGGTGTTCTTTTGTTTTTTAATGTTTGTTACATGGCCACCAAACTACTGCTCAGCAGCTTAGTCTATTTATCATCTTTTGTTGCAGCTGAAATTTCTGTCAGACTTTGTTTTCCCTCCAATAAAAACACAAACCTCTCTGAAAACTGTCATTAATCTACATTGTTTACTCTTTGTTACCAATCATGTTTCTTTCATTCACTTACTGGCACATGGAATGGGGTGTTTTGTGAGTCTGGTCATTCTAAAATAATTGAACCAACCATCAGTCTGGTATAAATAAAAGCTATTTTATTGTACTGGATGGAGCCTTTTAAGCTCAGCTTTTTACCATCACACAAGGGAAATATACTTAACACAAGGGAGAAAAATGAAAAGATAAAGTATAAAAATTATGCTTAAAAATAAACCTGTTTTCTTTAAGCTTTATAACTGGTTAGTTTTCTAAAATGAGGATTAAAAAACCAAATGGATGTACCTGAGAAAGCTGTTTTAACTAAAATGATTTTTTCATTAATAAATGTGTTTAGAAAATAAACTTAGTGCTAGACTGGCAAAATCCCCTACTCCATATACTAAGATACTTAAAAATAACTAGCATGCTATATATCTCTTTTTTTTTCCAGCTTTGTCTTGAATTGGTATTGCTGCTCTTGTTTTATCTCAACTGGCTGTAGCTTTTAGATAATATAAGGATTAACCAGTAACCTCTTGCATCATTACTATTTTCTAGGGGAAAATATTTGGTGTTTGGTTTTTCTGTTGCAGCAAATAAAACATCAGGAGCATCGGGAAATCGTCCTGGAAGTGTCATTCGAGTATATGGTGATGAAAACAGTGATAAAGTGACGCCAGGGACATTTATACCCTATTGTTCAATGGCACATGCACAGCTTTGCTTCCATGGGCACAGGGATGCTGTGAAATTCTTTGTGGCAGTCCCAGGTGAGTTAGAGTATTCTGTTGAGAAGTTGCATGTCCAGTTGACTGTTGAACAATGTGCATTTGAACTGCATGGATTCATTTATACAGATTCTTTTCAGTAGTGAACACCATAGTACTGCATCATCCCATGGCTAGTTGAATCTTTGGATGCAGATTGTGGTCGTGTAAGAACCGTGAATATGGAAGGCTGACTATTAATTTTACTCAGATTTTTGACTACACAGAGAGTCAGTGCCCCAACTCCTGCATGGTTCAAGGACCAACTGTAATTGTCTGTCCCTCTCTCCAGTGTAATACTTAGTACTAGAATTAGATAATTCCAACATAATCCTTGAAATGGTCTATAATGGAGATATGAATAAAGTGCCATAGAGATACTTGATAGAAGCTATTTTAGAATCTCTCTTCTACCCCAAAAACAAACTTGATTTTATTTAAGAGACTTTTTTCACTTTTGAAAAGTGGTGGTATTGTTTTGTCACTGCAGAATACCAAGAGTGGTTTTGACCTCATAAAGGAGATTTCTAAGAAGCCCTGTCATCAAGGCTCTATTCAGAAAGAGATGGAAAATGTGCCCTGACACCTCTGTCAGAGTCGTGGCAAAGGGTGGACGTGGTCTGGGGGTCTGGGCCTCTGCCACTTGGTGTTTGTGTCGAGCAAGTTGCTTAACCTCTGATACTCGTTTCTTTATTTCCTAAGTGGGTGTGACTAACAGCTGTTCAACCAACCTTACTTGTTGTAAAGATTAATGAAAGGGCTTTGGGAACTATAAAGCACCGTCTAGATGAAAAGTGGTGGTTATGATGTCCAGTGGAAAATGTCCCTTGAGAATACTAAATGATGTTGCTGATCATCTGTAAGCAGGCCCTGTGTTTTGGATTCTGGATTATTTTTTTTTTTCACTGTAAGACGCAAGTTTAGGAGTTAGACAAAGTTTAAATCTGGCTTTGCCACAGCAACTATGTGACGTTGGACGTGGTGTTCTCTCAGTGTATTAGGGTTCTGCAGAGGAACAGAACCAAAAAAGTGTGGGGTAGGGAGGGAAAGAGGAAGAAAGAGAAGGATGCTGTGGGGAGAGAGATTGATTTAATTTAAGGAGTTGGTTCATGTGATTATGGGGGCTGGTAAGGCTGAAATCTTCAGGGCAGGCTGAAGACCTCGGAAAGAGTTAGTGTTTGCAGTTTAAAGGCAGCCTGGAGGCAGAATTCCCTTCTCCTTGGGAGACATATCTTTTTCTCTTAAGGCCTTCAAATGATTGACCCACCCACATTATGGTAAGTGATCTGCTTTACTCACAAGTCCACTGATTTAAATGTTCATTATATCTAAAAAATACCTTCACAGTAGTATCTACACTGGAGTTTGACCAAAATGTATGGAGCCTAGCCAAGTTGACATACATAAGATTAGCCACCATACTTTTTCCTGAGGATGTTCCAAAGATTAAGTGATTAAGTGTACCTAGCTGGCACATAGTACCCTAACCAGCTATTCAGTATTCTTAACAACATGGTAATGAGCTTCCTGAAGTGTATGTGTAATATTTTTGTATGATTATTTCCTCAAAATTAACTTTTAGAAGTGGTATTGCTGGTTACAGGCTTTTCTTGCTTTAAAAAAAAAATGCCATAGAGACTCATTTGAGTCTCCTTTATATTCTTCTAATCTTACTCCCTTCCCTCTTTTCTGGTCATCTATAACCACTATCCTGAAGTTGACATGTATCCTTCTGCCCATGTTTTTGTATTTTTACCACATTGGGACATAAATAATAATAATAATAATAATATTACTATAAATAATATTAGTATTATTATTACTATAAATAATACATAGTATTTTTTATATTTTTGAACTTAAGTCTTATGTTGCACATATATTATTCTGCAAGTTTCTCATTTTTGAGATTTGTTAATATTTATGCATATACATAAAAATCTAGTTCATTAAAACTATCCTGTCCATGTCCAACATAACATAATTTTTTATAAAGTGTATCACATCGTGGGACTGTGTCCTGGTAGCATCTCGAGGGATGGTCTGTGTAGTTTGACCAAAAAATAGCAGATCTGGCAAGAAATTACTCCATGCTCATAGAGATTATAGTGTGAATAATATTTCAAGATTTCTGTCATTTCATACTTAAAAGATTATATCTTAAAACATAAATGTTAGAATTATATATTAACCAGTCATTTTATTTGCATCATCTAAATTTAATGTCATATGTATTATTTTTAAATATGAGAAAACCTTTGGATTTGAGTTTTCACATGGTGGCTCAGATGGTAAAGAGTCTCCCTGCAATGCAGGAGACGCAAGTTCAATCCCTGGGTCAGGAAGATCCCCTTGAGGAGGGAATGGCTACGCACTCCAGTATTCTTGCCTGGAGAATCCCATGGACAGAGGAGCCTGGCAGGCTACAGTCCATGGGGTTAGCAAAGAGTCAGACACAACTGAGCAGCTAATAACTTAACTTATGGATTTGAAATTGACTCAGATATTAATTATGAATATCCAAATTCATAAGGCTTAAGTTGAAGACTTTTCTCAGTCTCTTATGTAAATGCATATGTACCCTGCCAGAGGAGAGATCTTTTCACTACCCCTCAGATAAAATGATGTAGGTTTTAATAGTCTGAAGCAGACAGCTAAGAGCAGCTGAGCAATATACAATTCTCATACTGGATTCTGGACATGTTTGTGCTTTGGGACAAAATAGCTTTACCTTGATTTCAGATTGGGCTTTCATGACCTTATAGATGTTTCCTCATCATGCAGAGGCTTTAATTAGAATGTACTTATTATGTTTTTCAGTTTTCTGAAAATACTCAGGAGTAAATGAGTCTCTCCCACTCTGATCCTTGATGAATAATATTTGCTTGCATCCCTATAAACAGGTCAAGTCATCAGCCCACAGAGTGGTGGCAGTGGTACCGATCTGACAGTTGACAAAGCAGGGCCGTCTGCACATGAGCCTGGCGTCCAGACACCCCTGAAGTCTGTGCTTGTCATCAGTGGGGGAGAGGGCTACATTGACTTCCGAATGGGTAGGTCATTGGTTCTGTGGGCTCCGTTCCTACTGTTCTGTGATGTGGGTTTTCACTCACCATAAACAAGAAACTCGGATATGTGATTTCTAAGGTTTTCTTTGAACCCTTTACTTGGATTTTATATTTCTTTTTTTTTTTTTTTTTTGCTACTTTCATAATTCTTTTTCTTTTTATACCAAGGTGTGTTTGTTTGAAGGAGCACTAGAAAATAGCAGGGTTTGGTTGTATATTGAGGTGTATGTGAAGAGCTTATGGAGTCAGAAGACCTTAGGGAAATCATTCAAGCTCCCAGAACCTCAGTTTCTTCACCTGCAAAGTGGAGAAATAAAAATATCTCATAAAGTGTTGTTTATAACCAAATTCATTTCATTTATTCATTCTCTCATAAACATTAATTGTCTGCTGTGTGCATGAGATGCAAAAACAAAGTCTCCCTCCAGTAAATTATAGAACATGTCAATAAATTGCAGTGTTACAGATGCTCTGATAGAGAGTAGTCAGTTCTTTCTTGGAGTAGGGGAAGAGGGAAATCAAGAAATGATGCTTGAGATGACTCAGCACTGAAGGGCATGAGCCTGAAGAATTGGGTTGGGGATGATGGGGGGAAGGCTGGGGAGACTGGCGTTTCAAGGTAAGAGATAGCTTGAAATGTGAAACTGCCTTAATGAAAGAAAAATTATTTTAAAATGACTAGAGCATGGAGTAGAAGCAAGTATAAATCTGACCACAGATCAATCCAGAAAGGGAAGGGAGGGTCTGGATTATGAAAGGCCTTTATATACCTAATTAAGGGGTTTGTACTTTAAAGCAAAGGAAAATTATTGGAGAACTTTAAATAGAGGAGCAATATGATTATATCTGTGTGTAAATGGATTGGAGATATAAGACTACAGGTAGGAAAATGGGTTAGGAAAAAGGAAATGAAGAAGGTAGTAACAGTAGGAGCAGACTAGCCCAATGGTGGGGAACTGGTAACTGACGGTGTGAAGAAAGAGGGAGTGATCTATTTACTTAGCAGTAAGGACTCTCAGAACAAAGGCAGCAGATCTGCTGGAGGGAGAGGAATGAGGACAGGTGCTGGACATGTTGACCTTGGAGCACATGGAAGTTGGGAGTTGTCTAGGTGGAAGAAGTCCATGGGGCTTTTAGGTATAAGGGTTTTATATCTCAGGTGGGAGGAATATGGGGACTCTTGGCATACAGTGGTGCTGAAAATCACAGGGGTTGATTAGTTCACCCAAGAATATGTAGGGGCCAGAAGAAAAGATTCTAGGATAGAACCCTGCTTTAATACTCCATTTAAAGAATCATTAGAGTTTATGAAGGGATCTAAGAAGAAATGGCCAGAGAAGTTTAAAAGAAAATACAGAGAATTAATGATGATGAAAGTGTTGTGCTTTGTAAACTATAAAGCACTGATACATATATTTACTTGCTGTAAATAAAGAAACCCTTTGGACTGGACTAAAATCACAATGATTGACAAAGTTTCTTAACATAAGGCTTTAGGGAATATAATGTTGTAGACTGGTGACAAATACTTCAGTTATAAATTCTGTTAAAAAAAAAAGGAATATAAAATTTAAGGTCACATTAGGACTTCCCTTGTGGCCCAGTGGTTAAGAATCTACCTTGCAGTGCTGGGGTTTCGGGTTCAGTCCCTGGTGGGAGAACTAAGACCCCACATGCTAAGGAGGAACTACTGAGCCTGCGAGCCACAGCTGGAGGGTTGATGTAAAAGGCTTACTGACAAGTTTTAAAGGCAGGATTTTTAATGTTAAATTTAGCAACGGTGATGTCAGTAGGAATGGAGAATACCTTTATAGAGATGGGCTTCATTTGGCTGGGTGATTTTTGGAACTTTATCTTCCATTGCAACATGGTAGTTGGAATGTAAAAATTGCTTAACTATGTTTGTTAGTATCTCTAGGCAATCCAGCCTGAAAAGCAGAATTTGTTTTAAAGCATGTGAAGTGTGTGTGTGTGTTTCTGACTCTTTGTGACGCTATGGGCTGTAACCTGCCAGACTCCTCTGTCCCTGGGATTCTCCAGGCAAGAATATTGGAGGGAGTTGCCACTGCCTCCTCCAGGGGATCTTCCCCACCCAGGGATTGAACCCATGACTCCTGCATTGGCAAGCGGATTCTTTACCACTGAGCCACCTGGGAAGCCTATCTTAAAGCATAGGTCGATTTTAACAGTAAATATGTTTTTTTAAAGGGTTTCCCAGGTGGTGCTCGTGGTAAAAGGACCAGATGCCAATGCAAGAGACATAAGAACTGTGGGTTTGATCCCTGGGTTGGGAAGATCCCCTGGAGGAGGGCCTGGCAACCCACTCCAGTATTCTTGTCTGGAGAATCCCATGGATAAAGGAACCTGGTGGGCTTACAGTCAATAGGGTCACAAAGTGTCAGATACAATTGAAGCAACTTAGCACGTGCACGCACATGCTTTTTTAAAATTGAATTTGATATTTTTTGTTCCATTTCTTTTTTCATATCCTGTAATATTTTAACAATGAGAAATTGATCTCAGTAGTCCTTTGCAGAAGTTAGACAGTGAAGATTCTGACTCATGGCATTTCTTTTACTGTGTTCTCTGAAATGGGCATCAGGCAAGTTTTATGTGTGCTGCAAATGGACTCACCATGAGTCCGATGTACATCAGCCTACACCTTCGATCTTGTCCCTAATCTGAGTCTCCTTATCGTCTACCAGGTGATGAAGGTGGAGAATCAGAGCTTCTTGGAGAGGATCTTCCACTTGAACCTTCTGTCGCCAAAGCAGAAAGGAGTCACTTGATAGTGTGGCAAGTGATGTACGGTAGTGAATGAACCCATAGGAAACAGATGGCAACAGGGAAGCCATCTCTTCTGCATGGTTTATTTTCCCTTTATTTAATGGTCTCTTTGTGAAATAAGTTTCACCACATAATGTGTGAGCATTTTTTTCTGTTAACTTTATACTATAAAATCTGTCCTACTGTAACAATACAGGAGCTAGCTGATTTACTGCACCAGTGTTATAGGCAATTTCAGTATATTATGATCAAATCAAAGAATGTTTACTTTCTGCAAACTGGCGAATTTTAGAAAGCAATCCAGATGTGGTTTACTCTTGCACAGTTAATGTCACTTACTTCATTTGATGGGGTCACTTTAGCTGTCACTAATAATGGAATTAATGGAAATACTTGATATATGAAACTGTACCATTAAGTACAATAGTAAAGTTTCTCCCAATGTATTATAAAATTGACACAAACTAATGTTAGGTGGATTATCAGGATTTATCTAAATGTCCGTAGAGGGCTAAAAGCTAACTGTAAATTACTCTAACTTTCACTTTCAAATCTGACAAATCTTGTTTATATGGTATATAAAACTTTGTTTTCATCAGATTTTGCGGGGGGGGTTTTATATTAAAGAAATTAAGACTACACTATTTAAATAAAAATTTCTTGTTTCTGACTTACTAGAGCTCTAAAGTTTATGAGGCCTGCTTTTCTGAATATTCTACTTGATTTTTTGTTTTTGAGACTGGTGTCACTCATTTTCATACTGACATATTTGAAAGGTTTATTATTTAAAAGGCTTAGAAGATGCACTTCAGCAACGGAGGATTTTTTTTTTTAAAGGAAATTGTGGTTTGGATTTCTTATACCAATGGATGGTGGTGGTTGGATGACTTTTTTCCATGTAAAAAATTCACTTGTTTACCAGTTGTTCTTTGACTGCTCTTACCAGTTAATGAGAGTAAAGCTTTAGTGGTGATGGAGTATGGCCTAATGAACTGAATGAGTGATTTGATTAGCAGTGGTATTTTCTGTTGTTCTGTATAAAACTATATAACTGCCCGTACTTGATATTCTGTACATAAATGACATTTAAGCTTTTATGCCCTTTTGAGATTAAAATGCCATCTTCAAAGAAGAAAACTGAAATAGAAGCAAAAATAGCATAAAGTAAAAGTTGACTTTACATCTTCTCACTCACAATAGAGTGAAAAATAGAGTCTGCGTTTAACTGACTTTCTTGTTTAATAAGTTTTAAAAACCATTATGCTATAGTTTTTCTTCCCCTCTCAGACTTCTTGAAAACGTATGATTTACCATTCTTAATCCATCACTTTAAGCAAAACTGAATATAAGTTTAAGTACTAATTTAAAATATAAACTTACAGGACAAAGGCACCGCCCCCCGCCCCGCCCCACCTGAAGTCAGAAGGATAAGGAAGCAACAAAGGTCTCAGCTTGTCTCGGCATCCTTAAGGACCAAGTACTTTACCTCTGGACTGTAGTGGAAAGATACTTGTAAACAGTACCACCAGTATGTTTTAAACATATAGATGATTAGCCTAGATTATAAAGTACATAGGATTTAATACATCAGAGGGGGCCTTTGGATACATTTGGTCACGTGTCTAGAAGCACATTTTATACACAGTACAATTTTCCCACTTTAGATGACTAGGAGGAAAAAAACTCTTGGTAAAAGCTTTAGGAAAGGGATAATTTTTTAACTTGAACTACTTAGACACTTTTTTCAAGCCACCAAAACTTAGGTCACTTTTCCATAGCTTATAAGTTATGTTTTTAACTGATATTTTATTTTAAATCTGAGCCATTGTTGGCAGTACCTTAAAATAAAAAATCACACCATTAAATGTTTTGGGAGAATGTTGTATAAAATTCACAAAAAAGAGACAGCCAAATGTTTGAGAATTTTAATCCCAAGAAGTAAACATCCTAGAGTCAGACCCCACGTTTCAGTCTTTTACATGTTTCTATGACTGAATGTAATTTAGGAAATCAGGAGTTAAAAATGAAAAATGCAAACATGTTACAGTGGTTGTTTATTATTGCTCTTTATAAACTTATTGGCTTTAACTTAAGGAATATAGGTGTGTAGTTATTTTATCTAAAGCTGTCAGATGTCTGTGGCCCTGTTAAACTTCAGGGACTAGAGAGAGTACAAAAATGCCTATACAATTTGTTTTTTAGAGCTTGTCTTTATGTTTGTCATTTCAGTTCTATATTTTCTACAGATTGCTTTACTTCCACCTTTTCTCTGACAGTAGGTTTATATTCTTGTCAAGGTGGTAACCTTTGGTAGAAAATGCCCAAATATAAGTTTCTGCAAGCAGCGAGTGGTTGGTTTAAACTGCCTATAGCTACTACATCAATGGTAGAGGAGAAGCTGGAGTACCTTGGGTTGGTCTCTCCATGTAAGAAGAAATTACCCCCATTGGAAGAAATAAGGAATACCTGAGAATTTTCTCATTTTGTTATATTTGGCTTATGTATGTCATTGAACCATGTAAAATTGCTGATATTCAGCCGTTGCTGATCTACAAAAATGACAGTATCATATACATCAACCTAATACTTACTGCTCAATGCAGGTTAAAATCCCTATGAGGCAAAGGGAGAATATTCTTTAGGAACTCAGTTTTGAATGTTTTTCTCTTAACTCATGTGGATCTAAAATTTAAAATAGGAATGAATGTCTTAATAACTACAGCTAGTTGAGAGTGTGAAACATTTTGAGCACAAAATATGCAGCACATAACTTTTCACATGAAGTGTGTTGCATAGAAAAGGTTAAAATACATTCTCTGAGTTGCTGTGTTGTTCATTTCTTGTAAAGGTCTTCCTACGTTTGAGAATAGAACCTTTAAATGGCTGCCTTAGTGACAAAACAAAGGAAAACACTTGTCTCATAATAAGTAACTGTCCTAAAGAACGTGTGTCTTGCAAATGCTGTAGAACTGAATATTTATTTCCTTGTGAGTATTATGACCATTACCAAAGGATTCAGTCAGATTTAGGGCTCTTCTTAATTGATCATGTTGAGAAAGGGACTCATTTTGGTCCCAGTTTGTAAAGGGAAGAGAAGAGAGAAATGTGGAAATCATAAGTGCTTTTCTAACAGGGTTATGCTATTTTGTAACACTAAATGTCTTTTCCTTTTAAAAAAAAAAAAAGTTTTTATTATTAATTTCGTCATATATTTCTCAACATTATTTTAACTGTTTTATGGTCTGAATTTGTCTTTTGTCCTAGACATTTTATTTGGAATTTTATTTGCCTCTATAATCTTAAAAATGGGTTCTAGAGTATCCCACTTGCTATTTCTTTAGAGGCTGATGCTTCATTTCTATGAGCAAAAAGCTCATTTGGCAATGTAGTTATTTCAGTATTTATTTCTATTATGGAATCCCTGGGGTTCGGAATGTAACTTTGTATATGAAATATATATATAAATATGTATATGAAACACGTATGAGGAGTGTGTTTTGTTTTGTTTCTGCTTTTCCCAGGGGTCTGACCTTGATTTATATTTGAAAAGCCCAGTTATCCCCCATCAAACATGTCATTCCAAGGGTCAGGATTGATTTGGCACTGGCCGAAAGTGAGCAGTGAGAAATACATGAAGAACATGTTTGCCTAGCTCACGTGTTTAAGTGACAATGTGAATAGTAGACAATAAGGCTTTCTAGAAATGTGGGTATGCTGAGTAACAACCCACACATGATACTGAGGCATACCATTTGCCAGATCACTCAGTAATAAGAGGAAGGCTATAATGTAGATATTAATACAGTGTGCTTATTGTGATCCATTTGCTTGAGAGAGACTGGAACAAAGGGTGATTATAAAACTAATCATGTGGTAGCACAGTGTGAACCCAGTGTAGTGGTGTGTAGTCTAATGCCGTGTTCTTTGTGTCCTGATTGCCACGTTAACAGAACTGTTCACTAGTTGGCGGCACATCCATCTATCCAGTGAGGTTGGATGCTCTAGAATATAACGAACAGCCGTCTCATTCCTACTTTACAGGACCTTACCTAACTGCCCCTTGGTACTTTGGGGCCTGCCCAGTCATTGTTTTGGAAGCTGATTTTTTTGAGCCTCATTTAGTCATATTCCTTATTCAGCCAGTCTCTAGTGAGAGACTGGAGTAGCTCAGTGTAGGACAGCAAATGTTCATAAGAATTTTCTTGGGGGAACAGGACAGGAGCCTGGAACTGTAGCCTTCAGTCCCACACAGTACTGAGACTGTCTTTCAAAACTTAGTGAAAAGATACTGCCTACACCTCCAAGCTCTACCTCACTAGCCCCAAGGCCTCTCACACTCAGTGTGGGCAAGAGAGCCTTGGTGACTACAAAAGCATGAACTTCATCCTTAGCTCTAAAGAAGGTCCCGGGTTTCGGCCAAACGTGCACCTCATTGGGCTTCACTGGCTCAGCTGATAAAACATCCACCTGCAATGAGGGAGACCTGGGTTTGATCCCTGGGTTGGGAAGATAACCGTGGAGAAGGGAACAGCTATCCACTCCAGTATTCTGGTCTGGAGAATTCCAAGGACTAACATCCATGGGGTAGAAAGGAGTTGGACACAAGTGATCGACTTTCACTTTCACTCTCATCTTCAGTTGTAGCCAGTATGTTAGGAAAGATAGAGAACTTTTCAGAATGCCTTAAATATTTGGTAACTAGTACCAAGTATTCGAGTTTACAACTCATTTCCTTTAAAGACAGTGGTATAATGGGAAAGAAGGCAGTAGACCTGAATAGGCCCTACCCCTACTGTGACGCTTAGCCTCTCACCTCAGCACAGTCCTCCACAGCCATCCACAAAGTCATGAAACTACTCTAGACCTGGTGAATTGACTATCTTATGGGGTCTGGGCCCAGGCATCTGCTGCTTTAACATCTTTGGTTTGGACCTTAGTTCTCATGTGATAAAGGAGGGTTGGTTTATCCAGGTGATCTTAAAAAAATCCTTGCTCTAACCTTTCTGGTTCTGTGACCCTGGCTCTAATTTGTCT